CTCAGGCTTCAAGTCACATTACGTATACGACGCGGTGCACATTGAGAAACAAACAAACTAGCAACCCAAAAGAAAATGGGTTGAAAAGTGTAGCGCCGAAAATCGATCAAACTAACGTGCCAGGCACTGTGCACCGTGCCGCTTCTTAATGAAAAGATGAGAGGGGAAGCCGAGTGATGGGGGGTGTGTGTGGCACATTGCAAAGTCAAAACAACAAATCAATTGTCACAGTTAAATGTGCTGCCAGCCAAGCGACTTTATCTGTTGGCCTGACTGGCCTAACATTCAGTCTATTCAGTTTTCAGTTCAGCTATCGATTTTAGAGGCCTTACGAAATACTAGAATAAACTAAATGAAGTCAGCATTGATTTGATTCGCAATTACCTGGTATAATCTTGAGATGCCTTTTAATTGGACTCAACTTAACGATACTAACGATCTAAAATGCTCTTCAATTTAGTATTATTTATTTTAAGGCTTACTACTCGTATAAAAGGCCTTATTTTGAAACATTGTTAAACTAACCTTGTTGAATTATATCTCTAATAATTTTAATGGTTAATAGTTTTTGTATTTCCATACAAATTTAAAAGTCCATCTTCCTTCCTCTTCCCAGATAAGCTCTGCAAATTTATAGTTATTTCTTATACAGAAAAAACTACTTTTTCAAAAATCCCAAAACTCTCTCAAGTGAATTTTGTTGTCTTACATTTTTTTATATAGATACACGAATAATAACTCATTTATAATACCAATAATAGCTTGTATATTTTATTATATGACTTTATTCAGATATTTGAAGATATAAAACCAACTTAATCGAAAGTTCCTCAAATACCCAGACGCTGTAAAGATATGTTTGTTATCTTTAAGCAATAAATTTGTTTATTTATTCATTTTTTGCCAACAACAGCTTATCGATTTTTATGTGAACTACTCATTTGAAATTTTCTGAAATGTTCGGATGTTTTTTTTTTAATATTTTTATTTATTTATAGTTCTTTAGTTTCTCACGTTTCACGCATACGCAAAACTCTTTCTTCATCATTTGTTTTAATTATGTACAGTTGCTGGATGGATACTTGTTTATTGTCTTAGGTGGGTTGTTGCTTCTTTATTGTGAGCTGTATTATTAATGGGTTTTGTGTCTGGCACAGGTTGGGGTATTAAATACAGCTAGTAGTTAGTAGTTAGATTGACGAGTATTGCTATAAATACTCACTTGAACGGGGCTCGCATGTCTTGTCAACATAAAAACGTTGCGAGTTGGCGAATAGAATTTTCCGTGCGTTGGCTGTTTGGTTTCCAATCTAACAACTGACTCATGTGGCAACATCCCAGAGCCAGCTGTGTGCCTCAAGTGGTTGTGGTGGGCAGCTTAATTGAGCGGCTCCAAAGCGCCAAGTGTGCTACGTGTGTGTACATCTCTCATGCCTCGTGTTCCATTCATTTTTTCGTCTGTCATGGCTCACAATGATAATGATGATGATCAACCCAATTGGGCCGGGAGAGTAATAAAAATAAAACAAAAAAAAAACGAGAACAGAAAACAAAAAAACCTGAAGATTCAGCAATGCGTGGCAGTTGTCGGAACAGACGACAGTTTGCGCCCACGTCAATTACAATCATGTTGTTAATGATGATGATGTTGGCGATGATGATGATGATGATGTTGGCAATGATCGTCATCATGACGACTACAACGACGCCTCTTATGAAGTCAAGTTAAGAAGGCGCAGCTTTGAACTACGCCTCGCGTCGAGTGACAAGAAAACACTTGTGTCTATTATATCCACTATAAAGTTGATACTATTACACTCCGAAAAAACTTACCAATTTTAGATTTAAAATAATTAAAGAAAATTCTAGACAAAATAATCAAACGCATATTTCAATTTACTTTTCTCATTGTTGATTTGTTTAGATGTTTTTCATTTATAATGTAGAACATAATATTTATATGTCACTTTAAGTTACAAAAATCTTAAATCAATCTCGATAAAATTATAAAAATGAACTTATTCAGTTTTTAATCAAAACTTTAAGTTCTTCAAACAAAAACTTTATTTTTAAATATATATTGTAATGAACATTTTATACTTAATGCCAGAATTTTGATTCTTATTTATGCCAGAATATCATTATGATCAATCAAATATTTTTTTTATTATTTATGCAACATTATATTTATGAACCATAGAACCAAATAATGACTAATTTACAATGGAAATTTGAAGAAGATGATATGAACTCATGTCGAAATTACTTAAATAAAGTGTTGGCGTTTTCTCTGAGTGTACGCGAGTGGATTTAGATACTTGTGCTTAATTAGTTGTCCAACTATGGATCGCTTGACCAGCTCAAGTAGTCGCAAGAGACCAAAAGGCCAACTTCGCTGGCTAATTGAGCAAAGAAAATAATGAGACTTTACAAAATCATAGCACAAACTATGAACTATGCGTTTGGTGGGGGGGGGGGACTGTGTGACAGACAGACAGATAGGCCGACAGACAGATAGATAGTCAGGATGACTCTCGACATTGAGCACTTTTTTGAGTGACAGTCGGCGTTTCAATTGTTCGGTTTCAATTTCGTGGTTGACAATGGATTTTGCTATATAATTACACGATCTTCAATGCTGTTTGCTGCTGCTTCCCATGGCTTCGCATTCGCCACGCTCCACAGGCAAAGCGGCCACATCTGACAGGGCTAACAACAAAAAAAAAACTATATATATAAAAAAAAAATAGACAACAAAAAAACGAAAAAATTAATGTGAAGAAAACAGATAGAAAAGCATTAAAATGCATTGTGATTATGCAATGCAATGGCACATACAAAAATTATGAACTATTTTTGCTTCCTGTTGCCTGCCTTGCCTTGCCATGCCTTGCCATGCCGTTAATTGGCTGTTAAATAATGGCCCAAATGCACTGGGCTGTGAATGTGGGCCACTTGTCATGATTCATTTGCAATCATAGTTTTTTTTTTCTATCTCTTTCTGTCTCTCAATATTTTTACCATCTATAAATTGACCAAGTTTTCGAAGCAATCAAGCATCAGTCGCTCAGTTCAGTCAATCAACTTGCATGCAATCAGCTTAGTTTCGTTATTTCTTCTTCTACATAATACGCTGTTTTTTAAAGGGTAAAAGGGTAACTTGGTCTTTGCGAGAGTCCACTTTTTTTTGTGTTGTTTTGTTTTGATTTGCCATAATAATGATAAGCTATCGCAATACAAATATTCAAGTATTTTGGTCTAATCTGTAGAATTTTTTACCACGCCACATTATCTATAAGTACTACTTACTGTGTATAATTGGAACAGACGAATTTTGTTAGAACTTTAACTATAAATTACACTCTAAAATATTTTCGATTTCTTAAGTTGTGTGAAAACACAAAACTCCCAACATTATTTTAAGTTCATTTTATTTTTTGTGGCAACGTCAAAATTGGCCATTTACAGCTTAATGATTGCAATATTTTTAGCACTAGGCCATTTGTTTGATCAATAGCCAACTTGCTAAATTTATGTTTATTGCACATGTGAAAGGGCGGTGAGAAAAATTCTTGGCAAGTGAAAGCGCGCTTGGCACTTGTGACACTTGCAACACACTCACAAAGATTGCAACAAAAATAAGAAAAGACTTTTACTTGGCGAATACGTGCTGTTCTATATACTCAAGATAATTCTCGCAGATTAATGAGAGAAACAGAGAGAAAGAGAGAGAGAGAGAGAAATATCACATTATTACTTTAAGCAAACAATTTGTATGTTATTTGAAGTTACAAAGTTCTTAAATCAATTTTGATTACATCACAAAAATTAACCAAGTCAGCTCTTAAACAAGATTTGAAGCTCTTAATGCAAAACTAGAACATCTATTTATTTATAAATTATATTATGTAATTAGTATTTTCTACTGGATTCAATAAATTTTGGTTTGCTTTAATGCCTGATTACCATTCTGATCAATAGAAAAAGAGCAAAGATTGCAAACAATAGACTTTTACTTGGCATAGACGTGCTGTTCTATATACTCAAGATAATGATCGCAGATCAAAGAGAAAGAGAAGAGAGAGAAAGAGAGAGAGAGAGAGAGGAGAACACAGCAGCATGATTGTCACAAATTGCTGCTGCTGATTGCTACAATTGTTTTTTTCTGGTTGCTGTTTGTTGCAGTTGCAGTTGTTGTTGCCATTGCACTTTTGCTACAGTTTTCTCTGCATGGTTCAGCGGCCATGTAATTCATCAATCATAATTTCTATGTCATTCACTAATCGCTTTACGTTGCTCCTGAGCACCAGCGATTACCACACGATGATGAATTGAATTTACTATAGTTTTTTTAATACGTTTTTTACACTCCTATCTGTCTCTCTCTCACTCTCTCTCTCTCTGTCTCTCTCTCATTCTCTCTCTCTCTGTCTGTCTACCTGTCTTTCGCTCGCTCTCACTGATAATTAGCCTGGCTATGTATATTTAAGCCCTTTTGAGCTTAGGCTTATGCTTTTGAGGCCTTGGTCAAGAGCCTCTCATTCAATTAGATTGCTTCATTCTTAATTACAGCTCTTAAGTAGAGCTTAAATAGTAAAATTTAATCTACATACGGATTAAGTATTTCAAATAAATGTTTAACCATCTTTTAATGTTCGATTTTTTAAAAATTTTTAATTCAATAATTCATTTTTGATTTCATCTAATTTAACTGAAACCTGGAATTTGAAAACCTTTTAAAAATTTGTGAACTGCTTTTAGTTCGCATTATTTAAATATATAAAAAATTAAAAAAGATTTATTAATCAATAGTAATTGTAACTGTAACATGCAGCTTATTTTAGGACAGTAATCAAAAATGTTTGACTTCAGTTTTTACACTTTGGGGCTTAGGTAGGGTATTTTAAAATGAGAAATGAAGTAAGCGTTGATATTTATATATTTATATATATAGATAGATATATATTTCATACTAATTTCCCACTCCGATTTGTTTGCAGAATGACGGCTTTGAAATACACGCAACAAGAGGAACGCATGCCACCAACTGCAAGGCAGACGACAGTTGCATTAGGAACAGCAACAGCAACAATTGTACAGGGAACGGTGGCAGCACACGCATCTCTGAGCTGTTGGGCAGCAGTGGTGGCGCTGGTGTTGGTGTTGCTGGTGGTGCCATGGAGTGCCTGCCAATGAGCGGTCCCCATCCGCATCTTATGTCAACGAGTGGTGCTGGCAACAGCGGCGTCGTCAGCGGCGGCGGCAGCACAGTGGTTGCCTCCCCCACAGCCACTGTAGTGGTTGGCGCCACATATCCACATCATTTGCATCATCATCATCATCTGAATCACTTGAGCCACCATGCCCCATACAGCAATAGCTATGGCAGTCATCCACATCATCCCATACACAGCGAACAGACCAAGTCGCTGCAGGAGCTGCAGCATGAGGTTGGCGCTCTGTTGGAATTCCGAGATCTGGTCATCGAAACGTTTCCCGATCTCAAGCATAAAATGGCCTCCATATCCGTGACACCCACAACGTCCAGTTCGGTGGGTGCATTAGGCGGCAGTCACTCTGTGGGCGGTGGTGGCAGCTCCTCATTAGCAGCCAGGTAAGTGTTGAATATATATGAAATATTTACTATCCATCATTGATTAATATGTATATGGCGCTTGTAGACGTGAATGGGAGCCAGGAATACGCATGAAGCGTAAATTGTCGCACAAGGAACCGTCCACGACGACAGCAGCAGCTGCAGTTGGAGCATCCGCATCCGCTGGAGTTGAGCCATCGTCGGCGTCATCGTTGACGCGCAGTCGCAGCAATTCGCACAGCGGCAAGAAAGAGCCAAAGAGCGGAGAGAACAACAACGGCAGCGTTGTCCAGGACTCCGGCTTCTCAACGGAGACCAGTTCCTCCAAGGAGGGTCACAGTGCCTCCTCCTCCACCAATGGTGCTATGACGGTAAGTTCATCAATTACGATCATTATGTATATATGTATATATATAATCAACGCTTGTTTCGCATTCACAACAACAACAACAATAGGTGGCCATAGCATCGAATCGCCTGAGCTGTGCCGAATCGGATGATGAGCTGCTCAACCTGCTGGATGTCATACACCGCAAATCGAATCGTTTACGCGAGGAGGTCGAACACTTGCAGACCTATGAGCGCCAGTCCACGGCGGCTGTCAAGGGTCAGAAGGCGATTGCTGGTGGCATGACACCGCAACAGTTTCGGGAGCAGGTGGAGCGACTGAATCGTGAGGATATGCAACAGTTGCGCAAGGAACGAGATCGACTGCTCGACAAACTGGCCGAAATGGAGGCGGAGACACTGACGGGTCGCATCAAGGCCGCCAAGATGAGCGATCAGGTGGAGGAGCTAATCAGCGTCAAAAAGGATCTCGAGGAGCAGCTGAAGCTGGCCATGGCCCAGAAACTGGAGCTCAGCTCGCGTGTGCAGCAGCTGCAGCTACAACAGCAGCAGCAACAACAACAACAACAACAACAACAGCAGCAGCAGCAACAACAAAGCAAAAGTTCATCCAGGTGAGTTGGCAGATAAATAAACCATCTGTATTTAGATGCATAACTCTTTGTGTTCTTTCAGCGCCAGCCAGTCGGAGTGCTCCAGTCAACGCAACTTTTTATCGTCCGCAACGACGGTGCTCTCGAACAGCAGTCGCCCCCCGAGCCTGAGCAACAACAACAACTATAATAACAGCAACAACAACAACAGCAGCAGTAGTAGCAACAGCAACAATACATTCCAACCCATAATTGATCAGCAGCCGGAGGCGGCATTCCATCAAAGCTCAGGCAGTGATACAAGAAGACAGCAATTGGGTCGCTTGGATGGCGTTGTTAGTACGCCCGGCGCTCGCAATACCAAATGTCGGATAACAGACTCCAAACGCTTCACGGCCATATTGCTGGAGACGAATGTGCTCGAGTTGCAGCGGCATCTGCTTACGCTGACTGTACAGAATCAGGTGCTCGCCCAGAAACTGGACTCGTCCGGCAAGTTAAAGGCACAGCTGGCCAAGCGACTCGACAAGAGCCAGGAGGATTCCGAGGAGTTGCGCTTCCAGCTCGAGGAGAAGAACATTGAACTGGAGGGCACCAAGGCGCAGTTGCGTGTCCTCGAGTCCCGACTGCACAGCAGCAGTAGCACCAATTCGTATTTAAATTCGACATCGCAGCATGATTACGAAACGAATCGATCTGCGGCATCGACGACCCTTATGCTCAGTCGTCGTGGGGTGCCCGAATCCGTGGATGCCACAGCCACAGCAACTGCAACAGGAACTGCAAGTGCTACGGCAACAGCAACAGCAATGCCTCCTCGCTCGGATCAGATAAGCACGCCCAGCATGAAGGCAATGGTGCCGCTGGCAATGGATGAACTGCAACAGCATAGCAGCAGCACCGAATCCGCCCACGAGCACGAGCCCAATGATTCCAAGACAATTGTCAATGCGGCCACGCCCAGTCCGCTGGGCAGCAGCACACCAACCACCACCACCAACAGCAACAGCAACAGCAATAGCACGATTGCCGCTCGCGTGATGAGTGCCAGCTTTGAGCAGACGCCGCTGCGTAGTCAGGGCTATCGCAAATTCAATAGCGCCAGCAAGCCGAGTAAAATACCGCTGCCGGGCAGCAAAGCTGCCGCCTACTTTGCCGGCAAACCGCCTACGGGTAGGCTATCGACAGCGGGTCGCTCACCGCCAACGGTGCACAACAGCAGCAGCAACAACAACAACAACTCGAGCAGTGTCTCTTATGGCAGCAGCAGCAAATCCTCGCTCAGTCGCAGCACTGGCAATCTCAGCCAGAGTCTGAAACGTGCCGATTCCGCTTCGAATCATTCGCTGAGCACCAATACGAGTCGCAGTTCGACTTCCTCATCGATACCGCTGGCAACAACACCCTACTCGTCGAGCAATCGCAGCAGCAACACCACAGCAACAACGACTCCGTCCCCGCGTGTGCTTCAAAACTCGCCGCTGCCCAAGTTGAAGCGTGAAACGCTCAGTTCGCGAGTGCGGCACTTGGACTCGCTGTCGCGTGCCCAGCACTCGCCAGATCAACATCATCACAATTTGAGTGGCAGCTCCAGTTCGATAGCGGCACAGTTGAGCACAACGCTGCGCAAGGATCTGCAGTTGACGAACTCCACAACGTCATCGGCCTATCATCGACGCTCGGCTCCAGTGCCGACTGTGTCCCGACGCTTTAGCAGTGCGTCTGTGGCAAGTGGCAGATTGGCGCGCGAGGATGCCACAGCCGCAGCAGCAGCAGCAACAACATTGGCCACGCCCACGTCTAGTTATGGCGACAGTGATAGTGGCAAGGTACGCACTTTAAAGTCAACATTATTGGGTTGGTTCAAATGAATATAATAATCTTAGTTACGATATATACTGATACTGATACCGATAATAATGAGATACATATACATCTACTATATATATATATATGTATATATATATAGACATATATATATACATATATTACTTATTACTGTTTTAATAACGATTACCACAACAACAACAGCAATAGAAACAAGAACGAAACCCGAAAACACTTGCAGATTTCAGTTATCCATAGTTCAACTGGCAGCAAATCTAATTTATACATAATATTAAATCATATACGTTGTACACATACATACACTCATACATACATAGAAACATATACATATATATATATATATACATGAATGCGACATCCTGAAATAAACCCCCATTTTGTGTCTAAACCGATCCCAGTTCATTTCCATCAACTATAAAATCTATCAAAATTATTGAAAATAATTTATTAGAATTTCTTAAAATGTTTAAGAACTAGATCAATTTTTTCTTGGCATTTTCGCCATTATTTTTTGAGGCAAAGTTCCATTTTCCGTAATATTTATTTTTGGCCTTAAGAAAAAAGTAAATAAATTTCTTTTAGACTAATTTTGAGCATTGATTGAACATGTTTAAGAATTGGTTTACTGTCTATATTGTTATTTCATGTTGAAGCCAGTAAACTTTTGTTACTTGTACTAAGCTGCTAGTTACTTTAACTAATTTTGATTTGAAATGCGAAAATCTCGATAAAATGAATTATGAAATTGTGTCGGAATTGAAGGTGTTTATTTCACGATGTCAGATAATTAAAAATGCATATTTATTTATAAATAATACCCATACCAACAACTAACCTACGATGCATACAAAACAAACATGATTTATATACAATTAGTATACTATTTAGAACTATCTGACTAACAACAAAGCCGGTTAGAAGATCGTTGTGCCTATGCCTAAATGAAAAACTGATCAAATGAAAATCAAATCAACAAAAAAACAAAAAACTGTTCTCACTGCCGCCGTGTTGCCTGTTGACCCCTTCAGCCTGCTCTGCTCACCCCCTAACCACGCATGCCATGAAAGGGCTTTAAACATCAAGCATACGCAGTGTGTTGTTCACCTGTGCTTTTATTTTATTTGTATTTTTTGTGTGTGTGTGTGTGGTCATCGACCAGTGAAAGGTGCCACAAAGAGCATCGCCTCCAAACTGCCTTGCCTTGGGTGCAGCTATGCAAATTAGTCGCTGCAGCTGCCGCTATAATTAATTAATTAACAAACAATAACAGTAACAATATCAAACAACAATTGCACGCGACACAACAACAAATGTTTTCGCTTTTTTTATATGTACATATATTTATATATATATATGTTTATATGTATGTATAGTATTTTTATTTTTTTTTGTTTGTAAGTGCAACAACATTTACCATATGCAAAGCTCGTAAAGAAGAAAAAAAAAGAAGCAAATTATGTAAATTATTTAACATAACATATCGTTATCATTATCATTATTATTATTATTCTTATGATTATTAGTTATAGTACATCTCTCGGTTTCTAATTCAGTGTGAGCCTGTTTAGTTGTAATTAGTTAGGATTCTTTTTGCGTGTATGTATGTATATTTAAAAAAAAAAAAACAAAACTGATTATTGTTATCTATATTTATCTATCTAAGTTGATGTACGTACCGATTACTTACCAATTCGTTTGGCCTAATTTAAATGCTAATTAATCATTACTATTGGTCTTAAATATACATATATATATATATATCTCATATACACTACATACTCATATATCTATATATATATATATACTTGTATATATATAGAAATATAAACAACAACAAAAAACAGAAAGTGGGAAATTTAATTTGGTTTAAGCCGCAGCTGCTGAAATGTGTGCTAGCTTTTTATTTTTGCCAGGCCAACTGCTTGCCAATCAATCATGTTTACTACTAAATAACATCATCATCATCATCAGCATCATCATGCTCGTATTCATCAGCATTATCATACTGCTTGGTCAACGTTCAAGAAACTAATCACAAAATGCTTTACTCAACAACTCACACAAATATTAAAACATGGTTCAAAAATCGATCGAACAACAACAACAACAACAACATCCACAACAAAAGTGCTGTAAACACTAAATATTTGTATCTAATGCTGTAATTTCTTTTTTACTTTTACTTTTTTTCTTTCTGCGCGTTTTCTCGTCCTATGTATGTCTACTCCAAAATGTATAAACAAAAAAACAAAACCAAACCAAAATACGTAAAACGCAACAAACAAAATGTTTGTTGTCATGCCTTTGTTTGTATATTAAAAAAAAAAAAACAAATATATATATATATATATCCTCAAATCCAAAAACCTGCCCGCCCACCCAACAACAAAAAAAAAAACAAAACAGCCTATTGAAAACTGTCACTAAACAAAAAAAAAAAAAACAAATTGTGAAAAACTCTTCCTAACGATTATATAAAACTGCAAGAACAAAATGCCACATATGCCCCATAACCGTTGGATACCGTTGGATAATCATGTACATTCGTTATATAAATGTGTGGACTATGGTGGTGTATTGATTGATTGATTGATATTGATGTTGATTGACGTTGGTGGTGAACAATTTAAGCTGCATGCCACAAACAAATGAAAATGCTAACAAACAGAAAAAAAAAACAAAACAAAACAAACCAAGACAAGACAATCGGGAGGTGTACTTTTTGGTAACGATGATAACTGATAACTAACGGAGGCGCCTATATAGATCAGCTCAAATCAGAACTCAGCTCCGATCCGATCCGCTTCGCTTCGTCCTCAGCTGCTCAGCTCTCCAGTGCTGCACAACTCAGCTTGTTCTGTACTGTAGATCGTTTGTCGGGTTTTTGTTTCGAGCCAAAGACAAAGAACTAAGACACTTTGCCGCAATTCTGTTATACGCGTAAGTCTCTCTCTCTCTCATTTTGTTGTAAACTTTTGTAGGTTAAGCTACCCCTCTACCACCCCCCAAAAAAACCAAACAAAAACAAAAACCACCCTTGCACAACACAGCTTTTATTTATTTTTATTTTTTGCTTATCCAACACTGCACCAACAGAAGAGCAAGCAATCCGCTTGACTTTCATTTTTTGGTACTCTGTGTATTATTGTAGTTAGTTTTGCAGTAGTTTTAAAAACACTTATACACACACACATATACACTCAGATACACACAGATACACACAGACACACACAGATACACACACACACACACACAGACGTTTACACCCTTTCGCTGTCTCTTTCTCTCTCTCTCTCTAATTTCCGATGCAGGCCAGCAACAAATTGATCCATAAAGTAAGCACCTCAAAATATTGATTATCTTTGGAGAAATGGAAACGCTTCGCAGTCGTTAATTTGTTTATTTACTGTACTATATACAATTTGAAAATATTGGCTGGCGGTTCTCTAAACTCTTTCTGCGCTAAATGCTAATCAAGATACTTTTGTGTTTTTTTATCTAACTTTTGGTGCCTCTAAAACCATTATTAAAAACATTGTCTTTAATACTCAAAATGCCTTGTTTCTGTGTTTCCTATTTGCATTTCTTTTATTTGTTCTCGCCCGATACACCAATGTGAACTTAAATTTGTGATATATATTCTATTTTCTTTTGCTCTTCTCGATTGCACAGAATTTGGCAAATATTGCAACTAAGCCAAATTTCCGTTTCAATAACAACAATTGGCAGTTATGGCAAACAACAACAAACAACAACAAGAACAACATGAACATGAACAACCAGAAAAATCGCACTTTTATGGAACCATTGAAATATATCAAAGAACATGATGATGAGAATATATCCGAGGAGACGGCATACGATTCATATTATACGCAATATACAACCCCCGATTCCATGGACTGTGGCAGCGACAATCTGCTGGTCACCTTCGACTATGGTTATAGCGATTCCATTGGGGCACCAAATGCTGCTGCAGATGCAGCTACAGTTGAGGATGAGGATGCGGATGCGGATGCGAATGATTACAATGAGGCTGGGGCTGGTGCTGGTGCTGGTGCCGAGGCGGGGGAAGCTGACTATGCCCTTTGGTTTGGCATGCCCCAAAATGATGCGTGGGCGTTTCAGGTGTATCATGTGCAGCATGAGGAGTTGAGTCTACAATCCTTGATATCCTACGATGTAGACGACTTTGAGGAGCAATCGGAACCAGAATCCGACCAAGCAGAGAATGAAGAAGTTTTTTATGATAGCATTGAAGGTTGATCATGGCACAAGTCGATAGAGAACAGCATTATTTATATTATAAAGTTTCCAAACAGTTGTTTTATTGGTTGTAAAAGATCGTTTCTTCTCCGAAATCTATTCAGCAAATTCAACCTTATGGTTAAAGCAGTTTTGTTAGAGCAGTTTGTCATGATATATTTCAGCAGCGGCAGTTTTGTAATTTATAATTTAACTAGTCTACGAGAGTAATTTTCCAAACACAGTTAGGCATGTCAAAAAAAAAAAGAATGAGAGAAATGAAAAACATTGTTTTGTATGTATTTTAGGTAGTGTATGTATTTTGTATGTAAAGTCTAAAGACATGATTTATAATGAATAATAATTATGTATATGTATTTGTATTTGTATTTGTTATGTATGTCATATTTAAATAGTCCATTTACTCAGCTCATCGAGACCCTATGTAAATTGTTTATTTCCTATTTATAGCTATAAAGTCTACTTAAAGTATATGTATACCCTATTCTTATGTATGAGCGTCATTTATATCAAACTGATTGTGTAAATGTAAAAGTCGTCGCTAAGTTTAATATTATTATTATTATTATCATAATTATTATGCACTATGCTATACTACTTATTTGTACTCTCAAACTAATTTAATGAACTCGTATTAGAATGCAGCTATACCCTACAATTTAGTTGTTAATTATGAAAATTTAGTTAACACACACTCACAGACACACACACACATATTGCATGAAATGTATGTACGTGTACAGTTATATACTATATATATAGGTATATATATAGTACATAGTGTGGATTGTATTAGACCAGCAATCAAATGAATTAATTGTCTACACATAGAAGTCTTATCGTATCCTGTTATCAAAATGCGTTTACTACATTTATAATACAAACAAAACCGAACATAAAATCAAATGCAAAAGTTGAGCAACAAGTTCAACACTTAAAAAAAAACAACAAACCACTATTATTAATTATTCAGAAAAAAAAACTTTGTGAAATGTAAGCATATATCAAATAAAAATAGCAATTGTAATTGAAGACAGCATACTTATTGAAAAACAAAACAAAAACTACAAAAATCAAAAATAAAATCTAAAAAAAATATTCAATTATTAACGTCTTTTATTTTTAACTCATAAATCAATGCAATAAAGTGGCAATAATTTAAATTCATTAAAACGGAATCTGCTAGTTGTGTTTCTGCTAAAATCACAGTCAGAAAGGAAGTCTTCAAGCTGCTCATCGTCTGATCTGAAATACCCTATCCAAGTTCCCAAATAGCAATGTGATGTAAATGTAAACTGGATCATAAATGGAACACAATGGATCCAAGCAGGTAGTCTTCAAACTGGTTGAAACATATGTTTATATTTTTTAAATAACGACAGAATAATTGCCAATTTAGAAGAAGCTATTGATGTAATTTCTAAAAAGTAATAGCCAAATATTTAACATCTTAGCAGAGTTAAATTTAGAATATATAAATAGAAAAGATCTGTTTTTACAAGAAACACATTTTTATTGCCAAGTTTGAGGCAGAGTACTTAGATGACACATCTGTCTGCATTTATAGAAACATCTGTTCCAAGTTTTACAATGAATAAATAAGCCAAGAAACTTTTGCAAGAATTTCAAACAGAAAAGTTGGACTGAAACTTTTGCCAATTTACAACTTGCCCAATTTACACTTGAAGGAGTTGCATTAAAAGTTGTTCAGATTGCTTAGCGAATGAATAAACACAATCCAAATAATACAAACAGAGTGACTAAATCGATGTACCTTTTTATTGCAGGAGAAGCAGACGTATGTATAATTGACAAATATTGAGTCTCGTGCGGGTTTTCTATTCCATCTGCAGCGGTGGTCAGTGGTGGTCAGTGGTGGTCAGTGCCAATAACTTATATATCAGTGAATTTCACATGTGGAATGTTTATGTGCCGATTGCTCGCATAATTCAAATGCCAGACAGAGTGAAAGAGAGAGCCAAAGAGAGAGTGAGTGAGTGAGTGCAGCGCTCTTTTTGTTTAAATTGGCCAGTGCCTGTTGTAACAGTCTTCAAATACGTCTCTCGGGGTGACGGCAACAACCAGTTGGCTTAATACACGCCTCGTTAGTAGAACGTGTGTGGAACGGGTTTGCTTTGAATAACAATTTCGATTTAAAATGTGTGCAGGCTCATAAAACGCTTTGGAGATTACCATTAAAAACTCTGAGCTACACAGAGAAAAAAAAAACAAACAACATAAAATCAAAAGTGAGCGGAAAAAATCTTTAGCCTAAAATAAACTCTTAAGAGAGAAAAAGTATTGTTTCAATTTGTTTTGATATTTACTTTTGAAATCAATTTCTTGTAGATCTTAACTTGAGGCTAACATTGTCAGTTTAAGATTACCAAAAAAATGACTAAAAGCTGAAGCCAAACATGGATTTCGATGAGATTCTAGCCAAGTGCGGTAACAGCCATCGCTATCAGTATCTACTCTTGGCACTCTATGGTTACCTGATGGTCGTCGTGTCCATGCACTACTTCTCCCAGAATGTGATCAGTTTTGTTCCCGATCACTGGTGCTATCACGAGCAGCTGGAGAATCGCAGCTTTGAACAGATCGCGGCCATCTACAATCAGTTCGAGAGACCTTCATGCACCCGACTGGAAAGTATTGATTCAGAGGGACTCAATGCGACTGTGAGTGAGGAGCGTTGTGATCGCTGGATTTATAACTATGATTTTGGTTATAGGAGCATGAACAGTGAGGTGCGCTTACTACGAGTATTCACTGTAAAAATCAATCGATTGAATGTTAATTGAGCATGTTTTCAGCTCAATTGGGTCTGTGATGCGGCTTACAAGGCACGCGTGGGGCAATCATTTTTCTTTGTGGGCTCCATGTGTGGCACGCTTTTATTTGGCGTGTTGGGTGATCGAATTGGACGGATTAAGTCGCTCATTTTGGCCAATTGGTGTGGCTTCTTGGGCGACTTTGTGACCATCTTTACACAGAATGTGACTGCATTTTCGATAACTCGTTTCGTTTCTGGCCTGGCCGCAGACGCAAACTCGTATTTGATGTTTATTCTGAGTAAGTGGCAAACGCCAATTGTCAGCTGAAATGTGTATCAATTTATTTTGATTTATTTCATTGATCAGTTTTTGAATATGTTTCACCATCGATGCGCAATGTGGGTCTCAACACGGTTTTGGGCATTTTCTACGCATTGGGTCTAATTTGCGCCTCCTGGCTGGCTGTGCTTGTGGGTAATTGGCGCCTGTATCTCGCCTGCTCCTCGCTGCCACTGCTGCTGGTCACACTCTTCTATTTCCTGGTGCAGGAGAGCGCCCAGTGGCTGGTCACACGCAACGATATCGATGGCGCCATCCGACGCCTGCGACGTGTGGCCAAAATCAATCGGCGCGTTGTCAGCGATGATGACTTCAAGGCCTTCAACAGCTACTGTCAGCAGCACTACCACAAGGTAGCAAAGGGCGAGGGCGATGGCGATGGCAATGGCGAGAGTGGAGACGCTGGCGAGGAGCCACAGGCCAAGCTGCTTGACATGCTGAAGACGCCGCGCATGCGCAGCAGCGCATTTAAAATGCTGCTCATTTTGTAAGTGACACTCCCACGTGCAATAAGTATTTTGTATACTCTAATGCCGAAACTAAAAAGGGTATATTGACCTCATGCGAGATTGCTAGAGATTGCTAGGGATTTGAAACTTTGTCTGTACCCTCAAATATATCTTCGATATAACTCAAATTTTCAATTAATTGGTACCATTAAGTTCCATTAATTGACAGTGTAAAATACTGATAATCTACCTTATAGATACATACAGACTGAGTTATTTAATTTCGATTATTCAATGATAGAGGCTTTATCAGTCAAAATTGAAGCCTGACACTTAAAGCTGGATATATACATATACTAAAAAACTTATTTAATTAACGATTTTTGTTAGTAAAATGATTTAGTTCCATCAATTTAAAAGGTAGACTCCATCCAGATATATATTCCTTTCTTGCAAAATCAATATTTTGCATAATGTGAGATCGAGAATAATTATAACATTTCTCAAAAATGTGAAAAGGTCAAATTGTTTTAGAGCGATTTCCGTTTAAATTGTAGCCAGTGACTTCAAAATCAATCTCATACATATCTTGAATTTAACTGAAATAACATAAAGTTCCATTAACTTAAAAGACTAATTCGTATTAATCCATCTTAAACATTTAAACACTATACTCCGCTCTTGTCCATTCAATATCTCAAATACTTTAAGAGTTAGGATGATGACGCTTAAGGTATAAAAACATTCTTTAAAACACCAGCCACGTGCCAAATCCTTCCTTTTGCATCTTTTGTATTAGCTGTTATTTAAACTTGCAACAGAGTAGTGCCCAGTCGGATATGTTCGACTGGAATTTTACGTGCTTTTACTTTCACAACTTAATCTGGCCGTGTTAGCTCATTTTATCGCTCGAGATTATGTGGCATCCAACAAAACAAGCTTACGCTGCTTGTTGTTATATAAGCGACACTCGCCAAATCAAAATTCACAGGAAAACCCATAAAAAGCTGAACGAGATTGTCGCTGAGTTAATATCGCCGGCAAGTTTTAATATGTTTCTAAATATTCACAGCATCATTGTTGTGCCCTGCTACAATACCCTGGCACGCAATGTGGAGGGACTGGGCATATCGCCGTTTATAATGTTCTCGCTGACGGCGTTGACGTTGCCACCGTCGGGCTATCTGCAGGGTGTGCTGCAGGATGCCACTGGCCGCAAGATGACCGCCTTCAGTTGGATGGCAATTACGGGAATTTTCGCAGGAGCAGCAGGACTCGTTATAGCACAGGGCGAGAATGGTAGCGTCGTGCTACTAGTCGGCTTGACGCTTGTGGCACGTTTCGGCGTCTCGATTGCGGACGGTGCAAGTTCACAGCTCTGTACCGAACTGATACCCACTTGTGTGAGGGGCAGTGGCGTTGCTGTGGTGCACGTTGCTGGCTTTGCGGCATCTTTCCTGTCACCGTACATTCTGCACTTGGGCACGTACTCCAAGTCGGCACCCTCTGTAATCCTGGTCCTGCTCTTCTTCTTGGGCGCCTATGTCTGTCTGCTGCTCCCCGAGACACGCAACAGGAAGCTGCCCATCTCTCTCGCCGAGGGGGAGGAGTTTGGCAAGGGCGAGCGAATGTTTGATTTTCTGCAGCAGTTGCGCAAAAAGCCGGACACAAAGGACACTGAGCTCCACACAGAGCTGAAAACGCCAGAAATTATAGATACATAAAATAATTTAGTTGCAATTCAATAATCGGACGAATTAATTACACTCTATCAATTGAATATTAATTTTAATTTAAACAAAATTGTTAAACATTCCATTGAAAATATGATAAATTATGGTTTCACTTATGGATTACGTTTATTAAATAATATTAATAAGAGTAAATTTACGCATCAATCAAGAACACATAGTTCGATCAAGAACCGCTTGCCTCTTAAATATAATTCTTATGCTCGAAGAATTTCATATATGTTATATGTTATTTTATACACATTGTTCTTATATTAAATCAATGATAATTTCTTAAAACTCTTTGCTACTTTAATTAAGTACAAATTAAATGCCAAATAAATGTTGTGCGGAGACCATAAATCAAATGATATTTCTTATTAAAAACTTTATTAATTTATACAATTTATAGTCTTCTAAAATTAAGTCCTGAAAATAAACAACCACAATTCGAGTTTTAACAAAAACATTCTAAATGAAATGCCAAAGCTCTGAAGTCGAATAAACTAAAAGACTAAGTAATTAAGTAAAAACACTTCGAAGAGCATGTTTTTTTTTTATTTCCCTTGCAGCTACATTCAGAAAAAAAGTCGACCAATAAAGATAAGCGGTCTTCTTTCTAGTTTTAATATGATAAATATTAGTAACAAAGAAGTTAAGATAAAAGTTAATCTGCGTACTCACTGTGTACTTGAAACTACAATTTGCCTTCTTAATAATAAGGTTTTGTTGAGTGTATGCAACTATGTATGTACTACACATCTCTGCAAATGGGCATATGAATATTTGCTTATCTAAAGCGAATCATGTCAGTTGTCTAAATTTACAACCCTTGCGCGATGCTGGGTGGCGAGAAGTGGAATCAAATTAGTAGATTTGGTGGCTTATCAAATGGCACACAATTAATACTATTAATCCCGTAGCGGCGAGCGTTTATCAGCCGAGGAGAGAGCAATACAGAGGCAGCTATTTATTGTGTCTGCGTGTGTATTTGTTGTTGCACAATATTGTTAGACTGAGTTGAGTACCAGCTGGTTGCGGCTTGCCATTTGCTATTTGCTATTTGCTGTTGTGCTTTCGCTTTTGAAAACTCGCTCTTAGCGTTTCGCCAAAGAGCCAGCTGGCGATCACGTCAGCTGGCAGTATGTGTGTGGCATCGGCCGAGTGCTGACTGGCTGACTGAAAATAATAAAAACTAGACGGACTGAGGGCCACCGTATTGCTTGAATCTCAATCGCAATGGCTGTTATCTTGACGCATGCTATGGATTTTGATGATATACTGGCCAAGTGCGGCAATAGCCATCGCTATCAGTATCTGCTGCTGGGACTCTATAGTCTATTGATGTTCATTACATCGATGCACTATTTTTCGCAAAATGTGATTAGTTTTGTTCCCGATCACTGGTGCTATCACGAGCAGCTGGAGAATCGCAGCTTTGAACAGGTCGCGGCCATCTACAATCAGTTCGAGAGACCTTCATGCACCCGACTGGAAAGTATTGATTCAGAGGGACTCAATGCGACTGTGAGTGAGGAGCGTTGTGATCGCTGGATTTATAACTATGATTTTGGTTTTAGGAGCATGAACACCGACGTGAGTTTTCCACTAGTTCGTTGCTTTTTGTTTTTTTTTTTATTGAAATATTATTGGCTTTATCTTATCTGGCTGCGTAAACAGCTTGATTGGGTCTGCGATGCGGCTTACAAGCCACGTGTGGGGCAATCATTTTTCTTCGTGGGATCCCTGTTTGGAACGCTTATATTTGGCCTGCTCGGAGATAAAATTGGCCGGATTAAGGCACTCATTTTGGCCAATTGGTGTGGCTTTTTGGGTGACTTCACGACCATCTTTGCTGGCAGTTTGACAACTTTTTCGATAACTCGTTTCGTTTCTGGCCTTGCCGTGGATACCAACACATATCTCATGTATATTCTGGGTGAGCATCGCTTTCAAAATTTTGCTAAAATATTTACTACATTTTCGATATATTTACTTGCAGTTCTCGAATATACTACTCCGGCAATTCGCAACTGGGGCTTGAGTGTCAGCATGGGTGTCTTCTATTGTCTGGGCATGATTTGTTCATCTGGATTGGCGATACTAGTGGGCAGTTGGCGTCTGTTCCTCATGTGCTCGTCGCTGTCACTGCTGCTGGTCACACTCTTCTATTTCCTGACGCAGGAGAGCGCCCAGTGGCTGGTCACACGCAACGACATCGATGGCGCTGTCCTGCGATTACAGAGAGTTGCCAAAGTGAATCGTCGCCACCTTAATGATGAGGATATCAATGCGTTTCGCAGCTACTGTCAGATTAACTGCCACAACAAAGCGCAGCAAGGCAATGACAATCAGGACAAGCTGATGGACATGTTCAAGACGCCGCATCTCCGCAAAGTATTAATTCAAATGCTGATCGTATTGTAAGTGTTACAATTACCAGTCTCCATTCATATGTCAATTCCAATGCTGTCTGTTATTTTAGCACCATTGTTTGCATTTGCTTCAATACGATGGCACGCAGTGTTGAGGGACTGGGCATATCACCGTTAATAATGTTCGCCCTGACCGCCTTGACGCTGTTTCCCTCTGGCTTACTGCAGGCGGATCTGCAGAAGCGGATTGGTCGCAAGGGTTCCGCGGTGCTATCGATGCTACTCACCGGAGTCCTTACAGCAGCCAGTGGCATAGCCTTGTCGCTGTGGCAACAACCCGGCGTCGTGCTTTTGGTCTGCCTGACGATGGCCTCGCGTTTGGGCATGTCAGTCTGCCTTGGCTCCACATTGCTGTTCTCCACAGAGCTGGTGCCCACTTGTGTGCGATCCCGTGGCCTCGCTGTGGCTCACATGGCCGGAGCAGCTGCCTCTCTGCTGACGCCCTACATTCAGCACGTGGGCATCTACTACAAGGCACTGCCTTCGATTATCATGTGCCTGCTGTTCTTCATTTGCGCCTACATTAGTCTCCGACTGCCGGAGACGGGCAACAGGAAACTGCCGATTACTTTGGCAGAGGGGGAGCTGTTTGGGCGGGGGGAACGCATGTTTGACTTTATAAGGAATAGGACGAGGCCACAGACTACGGCTGATGTCGATGACAAACTGGAAGCTGAAACAGAACAGAAATTCATCTCTTAATCAATTTTTAAGTTCAATTTAGAAGTATTTAAGTTTTATCAATTGTTCAATTAAACTGCGGCATCTCATTAAAGTATGTGAAATCAAGTGTAAACACTTATGCAATGCTGGACTACAACATACCCTGCAAAAGTGCCGGAGTGTGTGACACCAAAATGAAGGCTTGCAAAAGTATTTAAAAGAAAAGAAAAAAAAATGAGAACATAAATATAATAAACTATTTTATAATATTTGAGCCGGCAATCTAATCATCCAACTACCTCTTAAGTTTATGTCATTTAGCTAGACACACTAAAAAAAATGTACAAATGTTATAATATTTACTTCATTAATCAGTTCAATAAAATTTCTAAGGTTAATTAAAATGTACTCTCTCTCGTCAAAGCCTTAATAAATTATATCTGTTTATAAATACTGAACTATGAATAATAAACTGATTTAGGATGATAAACAAAACATTATTTCATTATGACCTCACATGAATTTGTTTATAATACCTATTTTGCATATCTGTCGACATTTTATCACACTTAACGCTCTTTCGAACTTGAATGACAAGAATGACGCCGCTCTTTAGTCTCTCTTTCGTTAATACTAAGTATTTAAATATAATAGAATTACTTGCACAAACTGAATATTCTTCCTAATTTTATTCGAAGTGTTTCTTAGATATAAGTTTATATTTTTAGTAAATAAACAAACAATAAAAATATATTCAAAATATATGTGTAATATACACATCTCTCCTTATGTGAAGCTTTCTTTGTATTTCATAAAAATGACTTGCAGAAAAATGGCACGAAAATGAAGAGAAACTGTGAAAGTGCGTCGGAATCTATAGATGGCATATAGCTTGAACTTCGGAAAGGTGCTCAAAACATGATTGATCTCACGGACCAGATAGCGGTTAACTAACTGTGCGACAGGGAAAAAATTATTGAATCATAATTATATTTTATATACCATTACAAGACGTATCAAAAGCGAACAGAGCAGCAAAAATCTTATTATGGGTACGTTTATTCCACAATAAATATAATTTAATAAAGTTTGCTGTTTTCTTCTTTCTCAATACTACATTATTTTTCTATTCAATTCGTTAGCGGTTATAAATAGTTGTAAGACATTCTGCTTAGAAAAGTACCACCCAAAACGTGTGCCCCCGAAAGTATGCCGTATATTTTTTGTCGAATTTTGACACTGGTTCGTGCACTTGCTATCCTCTGCAACTACCCGAGAATTCATTTTTGTGTAACCCTAAAAGTATGCAGCAATCTTTATTTACTGCAACCTCCAAAGTAAAACTAATATGAAGCAGAAAAAGGCGGATTTTTAAGCACGCAAAGTATTTATTATTTGTAGCTTAATTTGTGTGTCATTGTAGAACTCGTATAATTGGTTAAGTACTAGAAATTTGATTACATATATGCTCATCTCCATCTGGTATGTACGAGAATATATGACCAGTGATGGCTTTATTATGTTTTATTTCAGATAAGAAAGCTCGCACAAAAATTTAAAAAGATATCAGGTTCTATGCGGATACAGAAGCGACAGTCATGTTCAGTGATACGTTCTAAATAAATATCCTAAAACAAAACATGTTTTGTATGACTGTTGAATTTTAGATAAATATTGTCTCTTATCGTTCATATAATATAAACTTAAAAATAACGCTATTTAGATTTGGGAATTGGCATATGAAAATATCTAACAGCAACATTGTATTGTGTATTGTCACGATTCGGATTTAGTATATGGCATATGTACACAAGTATATACATATCTATAAACACCCACATATATGAGGAATTCTCGCGAGCGCGGCGCTTCAGATAGACGCCGGTCTCTCTGTACAGTTTAATGTGGACAAGCGAATTTACTTAAATAATAAAACATTTCTTTCGTAATGGACGGAGAGATGGATGGAAAGAAAGAGCGCTGGTAGACACGCAAATGCGATAAGGCGGCAAAACATCAGCAGCAATCTTATCGGAATCGGACTGAGATATGCGAATTGGGATTGTAAGTGTGATTGTGATTGTGGCTCAACGGTTTCAGTCTTAGTCGAATCTCAACCGGAGCCGAGACGAGATTGCTGTAGAGGCAGAGAGAGATAGAAGATTGCATTATGGATTTTGATAAAATGCTTGCAAAGTGCGGGGATGCGGGTCGCTATCAGTATTTGATGCTGCTGCTGCTCGGTTACATTGCGTTTACCAGCACTGTACACTACTATTCCCAGAATATAATCGGATTTGTGCCTCAACATTGGTGCTATCACGATCAGCTGGCGAATCGCAGCCCCGACGATATCGCCGCCATCTATGCTCCATTTGGCAAGGATGCTTCCTGCACGCGTCTGGAGACGATCGAGTGGCTCCAAGTTGGCCATAATCTGACTGTGAGCAGCAAGAGTTGCGATCGCTGGATATACAAATATGACTATGGATTTCGTAGCATGAATGCCGAGGTGAGTAAATAAAAATTTGAATAAATATAATATATAAATAAATATAAATAATAAAAAATTAAAAATAATATATTACCAGTTGGAATTCAAGATTTTCGGCATACATTCACTGTTTTATAGTGTAATTAATCAATTATAGTAGATATAATTATTAATATTATTTGTACTATTTATGCATAGCTCAATTGGGTCTGCGAGGATGCGTACAAGGCTCGCATTGGGCAGTCGATGTTCTTTTTGGGCTCTTTGCTGGGCACCTTTTCTTTTGGCATGCTGGGCGATCATATTGGCCGCGTTCGTGTTGTAATCTTGGCCAATCAGTGTGGATTTGTCGGCGATTTTCTTACTACGTATGCCACGAATCTGGTTCAGTTTAGCGCCTTTCGCTGCATCTCTGGCTTGGCTGCAACCGCCAATTATTATCTCATGTTTATTCTAGGTAAGCATTGCGTATCTGCTCATCTCTTAATCAGCTCTGCTCGTCTGACGCTTTCATTCTCTTCTCCCCCATCTAGTGCTGGAGTACTTGGCGCCCAAGTTAAGAAATTTGGCTATCAGTGGCACAATTGGACTCTGTTGTTGTTTGGGCGCTTTGGTTGCGCCATGGCTTTCTGTTTTGGCCGGCAACTGGCGAATTTATTTGACTTTCTCAGCGCTGCTGCAGCTGATTGTGGCCCTCTTCTATTTTGTGGTGCAGGAGAGCGCCCAGTGGCTGATTACACGCAACAATGTTGAGGGCGCCATTGCCAGACTGAAGCACATCGCCCATTTTAACGGTTGCAAGGTGCTCCCCTCGGATTTTGAAGCGTTTCGCCAATATTGTGCGAACAAACGCAAACAGGATAAACAACAGCAAAAGGCAACTTTGCTGGATCTGCTGCGAACGCCTCATTTGCGCCAAACAGCGCTAATTATGGTTGTGACTTTGTAAGTACTACACTCAGATTAAAAATATTCCTCAATTTTGGATAATCGCAGAGGGCGACGCACATTATTATTCAGAATGTTCATAAAATTTAGAAAAAATATTTCTATTTTTCTATTATAATTTACATAAAACAAGATAAACTTCCTAGTTGTCAGGGCGATTCTCAAAAATTGAGGCGATTTCTTTTCTGAGTGTGGCATATACATACAGTGTTTTGGGGCGTCCCTTAAACATCATTATACGTATATAATTTATTGCAGTATGTTGACATCGCTGAGCTTCAATACCATCTCACGCAATGTGGAGGGACTGGGACTGTCGCCATTTGTGATATTCTCGCTGTTTGCATTGGTGGTGCTGCCGTCTGGTTTTCTGCAGGGTCTGCTGCAGACTCGTCTGGGCAGAAAGGCCACCTGTTTCCTGGCGCTGTTTGCCACCAGTCTGATGTCTTGTGCTTTGGGCATGTCACTCGTCTACGAGGGCGAACAATTGAATGCAACATTGCTGCTGGCATTTGCACTCCCAACCCGACTGGGCATCTCCATGTGCTATACGACAACCTCGCAGTACTCGTCGGAACTGTTGCCCACCTGTGTTCGCTCCAGGGGCATCGCGACGGCTCACTTGGCTGCTGCGGCGGCTTCTTTCGCCTCACCTTATCTAATCCATCTGGGCACCAAGTTTGCTGCAGGACCTCCCCTGATTTTGACAGCGGTGCTCCTGATTGCCGCCTTCTGTACACTCTTTTTGCCGGAAACGAATAACAGGTAAGAGGCGCTTAGGGATGTCGATATTAATAATACCTGTTTGCTTGTTTTGTTTGTTTGGCTTTAGACAATTGCCCATAACACTGGAGGATGGCGAGGCATTTGGCAGGGGCGAGTCTCTGTTGTCCTTCGATTGCTGTCGAGCCACAAACGATGATGATGACGATGATGATGATGTGCTCAAACAGCCCGCCGAGGAGCTTAAACTAAATGCCCTCAATGCGGGAGTGCGTAGCAGCGTCGAAGCGGAAACGGATACGGAAGCGGAAGTAGATGTAATAGAAACAAGTAGAAACAGTTAGCTTTCGCAGGCTGACGCCCAGATACCCTTGCAGAACAAATTGAGATTGAAAGCACAATAAATCACACCCAGCCCAAAAAAAATAAAATACCCTCTGCAAGGGTATACACAATATTTAAACAAAAAAAAAAAACACAGTTTAGTTCCGAAAGTTTGTCAGTAGATGCGAAATTTTTGCTTTTATTTGATTGAGTTTTTTGGGTCACAGTATTCGAACATAATATTAATTTAGGTGTTCCATCATTATTATTTTCTTGTTTTGTAATGTATAAGTATATATATATGTATATATGTTTGTATTTGTATGTATGTGTGTGTGAGTGTAAACTCTTTTTATCCTGTAATAATTGATTAATACACATATATATATGTGTAAGTAAAGTGTCATCGTAAAGGGGTCTGTAAACATTTGCATTTAACTTCTTTATTAACTTCTTTGCCATAAATGTTACGGATTCAATTTGAACGATTTTGGGTTTTTTTTTTGGTATTTTTTATTTTAAGAGCTAGAGAAAGTCTTACATAGTACAAAATAGAGGTCGCTTAGCCCTGTTTGAAACTCTCAATGGAAAAAACTTGTATAGCAAAGGGAGGGTATGGGGCCGCAGATTGGACTTAAACCTAGATTATATATATATCCAGGGCAGAAATTGTTGAAAATATATATTTATATATGTGTATATATGTTTAGTGTGAGTGTGTGTTTGTTTTCTTTTTTTCTTTTAAATTATTTGTTGACATTATTAAAGGTATCTCATCTGTCATCTAATTGAATATAGCCATATCATATCTGCGCCTTTCCGAACCGTTTCGGACTTTGTTCGATTTCTCGAACCAAAGCAAGCAAGATGCCATTTTTCTTTTCAATAAAAATTCGCCTTACATAAACTATGCATTCAAAAGAAGTACCCCTAACTCGAACCACTTAAAAGTATATATTATATTATGCATCACAGCAGTTTTTTTTTGGGAATGGAACAAAAGTGTGCACAAAATCTATTCGCAAATTCCATATCCCAAATTCTGCATGTTAGAAGAGAAAAGAAACTCTAATATAACGATCTATAGTGTTCCACAATTTGTTTTTTTCTTGTATATTAACGCAACATATTTTTTAAATTTTTGTTTGAAAACTTTTTGGGCGCATAACTCTAAAGCCTGGCCTTATTAAATAACTCTTATTTTTCATTATTTTTATTTGTGTTTTTTTTTTTAATCTTAGTTGTTAGATTTGAGCACTTTTTGCAATTGCTGTCAAATACAATAAGTACGTAAATATTTTCTGATATACATAATTACTAGATGATGTGTTTCTCGTCGGCGTCCCCATCCAATCTTTGTCTAATCGGATAATTAGTTCTTGCCATGGATTTGGGATCGCTTTTTTATAACAGTTTGCGGTTCACCTTAATGCTAGGATTACTCTGGCTACTTATGTATTTATTGTATATCTGTGTATATAACTGACTTTATATGTATATATCGTAATCATAATATGTATATGTTGTAGGATTGTATTAGAAATACCATGTAATAAACGCTAGTTCACAATAGTTCAGTTAAATCCAAAAAATGCCGTAAACAGTAAAAAGGTAAAAAGAGTTCTCATGATTTTCTCGGTACTCCAGAGTAAATACAACGAGGAGTTTTTATATAGCACCATGTGAGTGAGTAGTGAATGAGTAGTGTGAATATGAGTTAATACGAGTTAAGGTAGTACCAATTGTTAAAACACAATTCACTGCAATTTATATACTGTGGGTTAGTTAAGTAGAGTTAGGTTTTCAGTTAGATTAGGGTCCTCCACTTTCGGGTTAAGTAAAAAAATATACATGTGTTGTGTTAGTACTACATTGAACAATAGAGCAACAATAAATAAACTACTTATGCTTTACATACATTTACTATGATTAGGTTATCAATATTTATTAGTTATGTTTTTTTTTTTTCATTAAATCATTCATAATAACAATATTATCCGGCTGTGTAAGTAAGTATTATCCTTCTATATGCTATATGCTATATGCTATATGCTATATGCTACTAAATACCATTTATTTTTTAGTTTTGCAATAATTGCTGCTTATTGTTTGACTTTTATATATCATAATCTGATTTTGATGTCGAGAAACATTCGAATGCCCACATTTACACAATAGTAATATCTGAATATCATTCAATCCCTGTGGGCACTTTCATCATCATCGAATTTGGTGTGTTTGTGTGTGTGTGTGTTTCGAAAACATTCATTGAGTATAAAAGACAAGCGGTATTTAGGCAACGAGTGATTCAGCAATTTTCTTTTTATCAAAAAACATTTCCTATAAATCTTTGTTTTTGTTTTTTTTTTAAGTATCATTCAACGTTTTTTTTATTTATTTTTAATTTGTATGAATTTACGTTTTTTTTTTCAATGTAAACTTACACAAAAAGAATTCATAAGATTCGTTTTTCTATATTTAATTTCAATTCTCCTTTTTTTTATATATGTATTTTCGGCTTTTTAATATATCTTTTAAGTATTATTGAACGCCTTAGGGAGCTGCCTTCGTAGTGTATATAAAAATGCCACAACAAATAGATTTATCTTCTTTTTTTTTAGCAACAAGAGGTTGGAGGGAGAGTGACATATATATATAGTATATAGTATATAGTAATTATGTATTTTTGGCTGATATTTTTACTTGAGCTCTGGTGGGTCACGAGTTGTATGAGAGTTGTATGCGTATTTAGTTTAAGTACTTTGAAGCCTAGCTGATTTAGTTGCTCTTACTAGTTCTGTTTTACGTGCACAGTGCTTGCGATATGCTTGAAGTCTGGATTGATATATATATATATATATATATATATATATATATAGTATATGTCATTATGCGTAGTTTTAGAATGCTTCACTTAAGAGTATTAGGGTGAAAAACAATAAGGAAAACAAAACGAAAAGTTGCATTTACAAAAAATGTTTGTTTTATGTATTTTTCTCGATTATTATTATTATTATTGGATAGGTACTAGTACATATATATTATGTCGTACTACATAGCTTAAGGTTTAATGTCGGTTTTTCTCTTTTATTAGTTATTATCGTTTTAATTTTATTTTTAATGCATACAGTATGCAAAATTGCAAATTCCATTTGTTTTTGCACAAAAAATAAAGACACACATCTTAAGTGCCCTAAATATGCTGTCATTTTAGCTGAGCAATCAAATTGTTTGCTTCACAATTCGCAGTATCTTCTGGGATATCATCCAGCTTATAATTAGTGCAATAATTTGATAAACTTTTCTTGTTTGTCTTTTGACGTTTTCTGCGGTTGTTTTCTTTGTTTTTTCGTATTTGAACATTGTGCTGCTTAAACATTATACAATACAATATAGATAATTTTTGCAGTGTCATCGCCAATGCCAATGCTAATGCTGATGCTTGCCCAGATATATAGTTATATATAGTTATCTGTCCGCCATATTCGAGTATTGAAAATCTTTCTAAATCGTTCTAAATTGCGTGCTTAAGTTTCGATAATAAAAATCGATACAATCTGTAAACATATTGAATTTCATTCATGCTTAAGTTTCTAGTAATGCTTTGTCATCCTTTGAATCCTATGTGTGTGTGTGTGTAGCTATTACATAATTAATACAGTACAACACAATACAATACAAATACAATACAATATAGGTGTGTGTGTGTGTGTGTTGGATGGGGGGGAGGGGGTTCCAAAAACTCTAACTGCAACAATGGGGATATGTATAGTTAGGTGTGTAATTTTGTGGGTGTGGCTAGGCAATAAATTACTACAATGCAATCTGTGTGGAAGGCAACTCTATGCCTATGGCAATGTGGTACGTATGCCATCCAAACTGGAGCGCAACACCAGACTGCCCTCCACCCAAAAGTTGGGACGATCGAGCATATTCTGCCAGAGTGACAGCTCCTTGCCAGTGGCATCCATCCAATCCACCTGTCGTCCATAACTGCGACCTATTGAAAGAAAGCAGGGAAATGGAATTTAACTCAAGACTCAATTTTGTATTTACTTTCACACTTACCGGTGCCTTGGGAGAAGCGTATGCCGCCCACAAACTCATTGCTGGCCAAACGATCATGATCCCAAACGGTTAGTTCGAGGGCGCGCTCCGACAAATCCTCCAGCGAAACATCCTCATAGACAAACGTATAATTCCAGCTGGGATGCAAGGTGCGCTTCACCACCGGCGTCTTCTGTTTGGAGCTGCGCGTGCGATCTGGCAGCAAGTAGCTAAAATTTGAAAAGAATTAATTGCTGCTCAACAGTCTAATCTGATTGGATCACTCACCTCTTGCAGAAGGCATCACAGGTGCCGTTGGTCTTGATGGGACTGAGATGCTTTGCCTCCTTCACCAGCACATGCAGCTGGCCACCTTTGATGCTGCGATCCGATTTGGATGCCACCGATTTGATGCTGCCACCAAATTTGCGCAGATTCGATGAGCTGCCCGTCAAGCTGGAGCCGCGCGAGAAAATCGATGATTTCAGATTCTCGGGCGGTATATATTTCAAGCCCACAACAATATCGCCGCGATAAGTGGCCACATCATCGAATGGTTCGCTCTGCATCGGTACAAATATTAATTATACTTAATAATCAAGTGCTAAGACTTTGTTTGACTTACGCGTTCTTGGAGCAGATACCACTGCGACTGTGGATTGTCGAAGAGGCGACCCTGCAGATTGACGCTGACCTCGCCGAGGAAATCGTTGCGCCCAAACATATCCGAGTGCCAAACAGTTAGCCACAAGGTGCGCGACTCCAAGCTGGAGATGGGCGTATGGAAACGCAGCGTCTCATCAAAGATGGGATTCAAAGTGTGCTTCTTGACTTTGGTCTTGCGCTTGCCAGCCTTCGACTTGTCAGGCAGCAAATAAACCTGAAAGTCGAGTGCGAATGTAATTTAGTAGGATATCTTTTTTAGGTTGATGAAAGCGATGAGTGCAAAGAAACAAATGCAAGAAAGTGGACCTAAATCCGAAATTTCAAGGCTTAAAATCTACTTGAAGATCAGAATTAATAAATGTATTAATTAATAAAATAATAAAAAATAATAAGTCGAACTTTCGCATGTTTTAAAAATTGTATGTATGCTTCGCAATTCATCTGTTTTTATACCCTGTACCCATTGAGAATGAGTAAAATGAAGAAGAAGCATATCCGACTCCATAAGGAAAACATATTCTTGATTAAGATCAGCAGACGAATCGATTTGGAATATTAGTAATTCATATTATCGATAATTTAATCTTTTAATTGACTTTATTTTGATCAACTGCCTAAATTTAATCAAGATCGGGTAAGAAACACTCAAGTTATAGTCGAAAATATACACAAATATGCATCTCATTGCTATTAGCAGCACATCCGCACCTGCTCACATTCGGATGTGCAAAACTTTTTAAAAAGCAATTTGGCAATTTTTGACAGCTGTGTTCTGGGTATAATTTAGGACGAGCTTCCTTATTCAATCGTGCTTGTTTAATCGAATATTTACCTTCACATAGGGATCGCTGCGATTGCGTTTGGCATCCACAGCTGCCAGGTCCTTGCAGCGCACCACGTGAATCTCTAAGGCGCCCAGCTTGTAGTTGTACTGCATGCCAAACTCGACTTGACCCTTGACCACAACGGTGCCATAGCGACCTTCGCCGGCGCCCGAATAAACGCTGGCCATCGACTCCGAGCGCACCTGTAAACCGAAAAACCAAAGTGAGATCAGTTTTGGGGTCTGGTCTGGGTTTGTTTTGGGGATGTGAAACTTACGCCCAGAGAGCTGAGACTGCTGCGATTTTGATGCATGGCCACCAGACGATCGATGTCCTCATCCGACTGCGCTGGCCACGCCTCGCTGGAGGCGCGCGACTGTATCGGACTGGAGGCGGTTCCAGCGGCAGCATCTGTTGCACGTTGCCCAATCACTGGCGAACGCGAGAGCTCCTCGGCAGCGACCTTGGCTTCCTCTGTGTGAGCAAAGAAAAGAAAAGAAATACACAATTAAATTTTAGATATTTCCTCAATTATGGCTAATAAGCTGCTCTCGTTAAACACTCAGACACTCAAACACTCAAACACTCACAACACTCACAGCACGCAGCACACACAATATGAATAACAGCATTAAGATAATCATTCGATTTGATGGCAGCAGTTTGAAAGCGTGGCACGTGAAAGCTGCATGCAGATGGGGCAGGCGGAACAGGTGGTGGTGCAAGTGCAACAGAGAGAGCATCAACTGTAAACCATTTCTCATAAATTGTTAAAAAAGCGAAGGGATACAAATAACCCCGAAATTTAACTCACTAAAATCATAGACCGCTTTGAAAACTAGAAAGTTTTTCTTGATTTTAGAAATAATTTAAGATAAATAAAGAAAAATACATTTCTACAAATTAGAAAGGATTGCCCTAAATTGACAGTCCCAAACGTAGGGAGTTTAATTCTTATTTTATACAAATATTTTTTATTAATGCATTTTATAGAAAAGCAAAACGTAATTTCAGAAATATTTTTATCTAAGTGTAAAACCGAAATCAAAAAGAAAGCAAGCAGAAAATGTCGGAAAACAAGTCTTTAACTAATTGTCTCTCTGTGCGTGGCAGGCAGACAGGCAGGTGGCAGGTGGGGCAGGCGAGCAAATGTTGCACAGTTGTGCCGCCTACCTGACACCTCCCGAAAGGTAACGTGCAGCGGCGTGCGTCGCTGCAAGTTCAGCGATAGTCTCAACCCCTCCCCAACACCATCACCAGCCCCCGCCACAGCTGCAGCTGCAGCAGCAGCAGCCGCAACGCCTGGCAAATCCTCCTCGAGCGTTTCGAGGAAGCGATCCGAGTTGGAGCGGAGACTATCGTCCCAGGTCCAGGCGCGGTGCTGCCGCTGCGTCTGCTGCCGAGGTGGGGCGCTGCTGCTGCGCTGAAGGACAACAACAACTGGGGCTGCTGTTGCTGTTGCTGTTGCACCTGCTGCAGTTGGTTGCATGAAGCACGTCTCAGTTGCCGGCTTCAGCTCATCCGTTTGCTCACTTTGCGACAGTTCGCGCTGCTTCATTTCCAGGATGTAGGCGGCCACTTTGGCATCTATGTCATCGTCCTCCTCCTCCTCTTCAACCTCCTCGGAGTCGTAGTGATAGCTAGTTCCGGTTGCATTGCGCCGCCAACAGCAGCCACAACACTTGGCCCAATTTAAACAAGATTTCAGTTTGCTTTTCTTAGGCCAATAATTGGTGAAGCTGCGTTGGCGTCGCTGTCGACGTCGGTGTCGACTCCAACAGCCGCTCCAGAGGCGCAACCAACGCCTTCTACTCCGGGAAGTGGGCGTGGCTTTAGGTTTTTGACTATGACGCAAGCGATTCAGTGCCGCATATTGTATTTGGCCAGCTGCCGGATTGGTCGCAACGCTCGCAGCACCCGTTGGGTTTGTCTTCACCGATTTGCCATAGTTGTGAACGGCGGCAAGTGGAGCTGCTGCCCCAGCACTCCTTGCAACGGCGGGTCGCACGAATGCATTGTAGCCGGTGGCATCTTTTGGCGTTTTACTTGCGCCCCGCTTCTTGCCAATTAAACGCGACACTTTTCTCATTTTCTCTCTTTTCTCAATTGAACTTAAGTACTATTTATTTGCCATTAATTGATGACGCTTTTGGTTCGTTGAAAGAGATATACACTGTAGTTGTTCATTTGAAAAGGGTTACAGCAACTATGGAGAAGATGGAAGATATCTTTCTGATTCTAGAGTGACGTTGAGGTAGATGTGCCAGAGAAGAGAGTCTTAAGCAAGTTGAACCATTATTATAGACTTGACTTCCGGATTGGATTCAGATAGGTATAATATCCTATCAAAGAGATATTCCATAGACGACTACAAAGAGTTGGAAGGGCATTCATCAAGTTTCCATAATATATGTAAAATTTTCAACGAGTTCAGATCATCCTGCAGAGGAGTGCGCTCATTGCTATCATCAAAATTACTTTTATAGTTGTTGTTAACAAAAACTTAATTGCATTTGGCAACAAGCGAAACACACAAAAAATAATACGAACAACAGCTGCTAACCCAATTGCCAGCTGCTCTTTATTTTATTTTATGAACTGACGATGTGTTTGGGTGATAAGCTAACTGGGCTGCGCTGGGCTGGGCAGGGCTGGGCATGGGTGCGATAAGCAATCTGGAAGCGACAAAGCTCTCAGCAAATTTGGACACGTAATGTGGTTTAGAATATTTCGAATGTGTTATCTAAAAACCGTTTTTACTGCTGCTGCTGTTGTTGTTGGGGGAAGTAAAAATTCAAGGTGGCTTCAATTCAATTGAAATCATGAATTTTGCACTTGAACTTCGTCGACAGACAGACGACGCCTTGAATCATGCCCGCAATTAGATACCCCCATTATTATTAAGCTCTGTGAAATGTACAGAATTGAGGAACTGAAGGCTTCACAAAGCGAAAAAACTGGGTCAAATTACGCCCCAAAAATGGCAAGGCATTAATAACTGCAAAATGTTTCGACTTGAATTGAATTTTATGTTTGCTGTGAAAAAGTCACGAATTGTGGATAAAATTATTGTACAGCTTTGAGTTCTATTAAAATAAAGCTTGAGTTATTTGTGTGTGGTTCATAGATTTACAAAATTAAATTTTGTGTAAGCCTTTCTCAAGGTAAGCCACAAAAAACACTTAAAACAAAACCTCAATAAAAAAGAAAAGAAAATAAACAAATAAAGAAATAAAGAAACGCAACTGAATACAAAAAGTAAAAAAAAAAAACACTTTCACTTGCAGAGCGAATTGTTTGACGTAGTGTTGCGATTTATATGGTTTTTGAATGTGATTTCGATTTTGGAATTTATGTTTTCGTTTTCGAATTCGTATTCGTATCCGATTTTGTGGAGCGCGTCGTGATCGTGATTGTGATTGTGATCAAGTGGCGTTAAGCGTATCGCGCTAACTGAAAATGAAAAGAACCCAGCGAGGCGCAAATCTAAGTTATATATTCAATTATTCAATTATTGAAATATTGAACTTTTCTCGTGGGGGGAGGCAGGCAATGAAAGTGCAATTAACGAAATGATTCCCGCATCAGATGTGGCATGCGGTGGCCGGCAAGTGCAACAGAGACAGCCATACGAGACACAGATGTGAGGCCAAAAGGTTAATTCGATTACAGGCGCCACACAGAGAGAGAGAGAGAGAGAGAGAGAGAGAGAGAGAGAGAGAGAGAAAAAGTGAGTAACGGGTGTGCCGCTTGAGCGTGCCACAAATACATGGTGCCGCCACAAAACTTTGGCATTTCCGCAACAGCAAACATTTTAATTAATTTGCGAGTTGGTTGCATGCAATTTAAATAAATGTAAGTATGCAAATAGTTTTTAAACGCAGCATTTAAAATGCCGGATGGTCAGTGCTGATTGTGTTGTGTGGATGCCACTCAACTTCCGTGCCGCACCGTACACCACTATGGTTGCTGGTGCACTCGAGCACGACCTGATCGGGTAAACAAGAAATACAATAAACTCTGTGTCAACTCTCTCGACTGCCTTGTTCGGGTTCACAAACATTAATCGCATATTGCCAAAATGCCAAAAACAGTCGCAAATACAGGAAATAAACAAGTCAACAACACAACACAACACAACCAAAACCAAATCCGAAAACCGAAAATAAGACACTCTATCAACGTCAAGATCTTAAATAATATAAGTATGTAAGCAGACATTGAGTATATAAACTTCAGTTTCAGTTTGTGTTTCGGTTTCAGCCCGAAATCCATTGAACCCCTGGCCAAGCATATAATTGTTCATTTTGCTGGTAACAAGACAAAACCGACAAACGATTTGGTTACACAAAGCTGCTGTTCAAATAGCCAAAACAAAAAAAAAGAGTTCAATGAGAGATTTGCATTAGGGATGGTTCCGTGTTCAGATCACGCGAATAACAAGCACGATTTTATAATATCTGCAACATTATAATTATTGCGAATTAAGTCATTCTAATCGCAAGAAAACACTTAATATTTTATGCACGGATAATATCCATAATTATAATTATAATATAATTACTACTGATTTTCAATCTGAATAATTTGAGTTTTCCTTGTCTTATCGTCATCAGCATTAATTGAACTTCATTTGTGTTAAACGATGAATTTAAGTAATAATTATTTGTTTTGTAGACTAATTTGCCGCTTCTTTCTAATCAAACGTCAAATATTTTGGCATTGTAAACAATTTATATTGGGTATTTAACATATAACATTTTTAAACAGGGTATTTAGTATTTCATCAGTGCAATTGTAGCACTCTCTCGCCACATTTGAATACCATCAAATTGAATTTGACATTTCAATTCGCCGGCTTCATGGGTTTTTATAAACATTATATATTTTTCGCATGAATTTAGTTAGTCATGTAATTCCAATTAATTGACATGCTAATTATGCCCATTGTCACGAGCCCATCCCTAGCGGAAGAAACAATGCAAAAACACAGAGTTCAAAGCGCTCCCCTCGCAAGGTTCGAGTTTAGAGATGGAGTAAACAGCTTCAAGTTTCATTGACCAAAAAGCGAAACAGCAAAACAACAAAACAGCTTTTTTGGGCCAACTAATAAATAGGCAACAATGCCAACAACAGTAATCGGCTAGACTCTAACATACATATATATATATATATATATATACGCCCCCAACAAGCGGAACTTGGCATCGGCTGTGTGAAATTCGCTTTAACTTGAAGTGTGGAGGGCTGGCAACAAGCGTAGCGCTTAATATGGATACAGTTAATTGACCTTGATCGAGTTGATTTTGGACACAAAAACCCCAGCGGGATCGAAACCCACATACCCAACGCATTAAAGAGCTGCAAAGTCTGGCATCAACTGAGAATCTTATCTCTAATAGAGATGACTGTGAGCATACACTCGGAAAAAATATAACAGCTGAGAAAGTAAATAGTAAATAAAAATATATACATAAAAAGTCACCACCAGAAGGCCTTTCTAGTTTTTGAAATCATTTCTAACCACAAGAATACCAATTTAATTTTCTACATTTCAGCACAATTTATTTATCTGAGTGTAGGTTGGAAAGCACGTGTACCTGTTAACAACTAAAAATAAAACCCGGAACATACAACCGAACTGGAATTAAATGTGAAAAACAAACAACTTGCCAGACTCGGCACAGTTATTGTTGAGTTTGAGTTATTGTTGAGTTCAGCTGCGAAATTGTTTGTCAAATGATTTTTCATGTCGATGATTAAGTCACACATTGGCTAATGAATATTGGAAAGTTTTTACTGGTCGAAATTGACTTGTAATAGTTTAGTTACCAACAATAAAGTTATATTTAAGCATTTTAAAAGTGATTCATAATTGACAAAGAAAACTATGACGTATTTCAGCGCTTAGCTTTGAATCTTTTGCTAAATTCTGAGTTTTGTGCGGTTATTTTATTTAAATTTGCATAACGACCGAGAAATAAATGGAAAAGGTTGTTTGTGGCTTTGGAAACATTGTAGAATAAAATTGTTTATGAGCTTAAATTAAGTCAATCTTAAGCAAACACCTTGATAAATAAGAGGCATCCAGTTAAACAAGCTCATCCTGTCTAACTAACTTAACATTTCCCAATCAATTAATCAGTAATTCCAATATTTCAGAACTTAATAATATCATTTAACATCAGCTTCAATGGCTGAGCTATGTTGATAATCGCCTGTAAATTATAAAGTGTTTTCAACTTTAAAAGTTCTCAAGAAGTTTAACGCTGAACTCAATTCAAGTGAGCTGCAGAAGCCAAGGCAAAATGTGAACAACGAACTCAATATTCTATTGAGCTCCTAGCTAAAGACAAGGATTAACTCCCAAATAGGTCGCATGCCAATTTGTCGCCTGGCTGGCTGGCATTCCTGGCCAGGCCAAAAGGGTGGTCAACAAGGGAAGTCAACGAAGCCAATCGCCATGTGAAAAAGGTAAACTTTTTCAAGTATGCAAAACATGCGCAAAATGTGACCAGGCAGTATGTAAAAGGGTCTACACTCAGAAAAAAATCGCCCTGAAAATTAGAAAGTTTTTCTTGTTTTTGGTAACATATTCGAAATATAAGAAAAACATTTTCTTTAAATTAGAAAGGTTGATTTAGGGCAAAAACTATGGTGATATTTTCAATTTCTTAGAAATATTTGAAATTATTAAGAAATTATGTACCTAAACAAGGCAAACCCTGATTCTTAGAAAAAATACTTCCTACAATGCAGAAAATGGTAATAAAATGTGCTCTTTGGCCTTTGGTTTATTAGAGTTTACCTGTTATTGAGGGGTTCTCTCGGTTTGAAATACCCGTAAAACATTTTAAGTTTTCTCAGGTCAACTTAAGAATAAATTTTGAAATACTAATTTTCAATAATTATTATATCCGAGTAACAAAAACTCTTTTGTACGAGTTCTATATGTAGTATATAGAAAACCAAATGTACCCTGAAAATCATCTAAAATTGGCCTCAACATTTTTGCTGAGTGCATTGGTCAGGCATGTCGGGTTCGAGGGAAGATGGTTAGGAAAGGAAACTCACCCGCTGACAAGTTGAGACGTTTGCGGGCATCCCGCTTGGAGTAGAGGAACTGCTGAATACCACCGCCGAGTTTCTTGCCCGCACTGCAGCCACTGGAACCACTTGAAGCAGTTCCAGCTCCACTGATGCTATTGTTGTTGTTGTTGTTGTTGCTACTGTTGCTGCTGTTGGCTGCCGCAGCTCTTGCCGCCAATCCTGGCGAGCGATAACGAGCACTCTTCGCACTGCCCGTCGCCATGGAGGCTGGCGTATAATTGAGAGCATTCTGTGACTTGGTCACGATGGGCGTGCTCGTAAATGGAACAGATGCACCACTGGTCGTAGGCAGACGTGGCAGCGAATTGGTGCTTGCCACCTGACCACTGCCAGTCAAGCTGCGTGGCAACGTCGAACGATGTGTGGTGTTGGAATTGGAGGCGTCATCGCTGGAATCCGTTTCGTAGATGGCATCGGGAACACTGGAGCGACGCACATCCTTCGCGGAGTCGGCCGAGGAGAGCCACGGCTTAGCGGGCGATGACTCCAACTGATGATGATGGGCGTCGCCGCCGCCAATGCTGCCACAGGAGCGCACACGATCGAGCTGCTCGCGACTGAGACTCTGCTGATGCTGGCTGAAGAGCAGGTCGCCTGCAGATCTGCGCTTTGCCACAGCCAAAGCGGACGCAGACGACGAGTTGTCCCTGTCCAATTGGCTCAGCTGGCTGAGCCTCGTTCTGCTATCGCCATTAGCCAGTAATGCCGACTCAAAACTGCCGCGCCACGAGAAACGCTCATAATCGCTGGCAATGCCACATTCTTCGCCAGTTGTGGCATCCGTGCCAGACGTGGGTCCCGCTACTCCTACTCCTCCTGTTCCAGTTGCTCCTCCTCCGCCAACTGCTCCAGTTTGAGCATGTGCAGCATGCAACATGTGCGCCTGGCCATGTCCATAGCCATGTCCATGTGTTTGTCCAGGCGCATTCCCATCCAGCAGCAAATCATGCGACCGACTGCGCAACTTGAGTTGTTTGAGAGGCAATGCCTTCAGTTGCTCAGCCTCATCCTCCTCATCCTCGGTGGTGCTGGCCGATATCTTCACCTGTTGCCGGCGACTGTGTCGCGTTGAGGTGGGCGTCTCATTGCCACTGCTCACCTCATGCATCAGCGCAACCAGACGTGTGCCAATATGTTGCATCACCTTGGCAAAGAGTTGCGGGGATCGCTGCTCCGCTTGGACATCCTCCTGCTGCAGCTCAACGGGCTGAGCTGGTTGCTCCACGGCCACCTTGCTGAATGAAGCCACCAGTTTCTGGTAGACAAAAGCCGAGTCGCCATTTAAAGCATGCGTTTCATCCAATAAGCCACCATCGCCACGCACTCCTTCCTCATCCACCTCGAACTTGTTGATGATCTGCTGGCAGCTTGCCGAGATTTGTGCCTTCAGCTGACCCTTGTGCTCATTGCACTCCAGATCGGAGCTGGTATAGTCCGAGGAATCATACGAATCCGACCAGGTATCTTCGCTGCTGAGATATTCAACGATCTCGCGCACCTGTTCATCATTGATACCCGGCACCGTTTTCATCAGACGCGTCAATTCATTCTCAAAGTACGCCAATTGAGCTGGACGCGAAGTCTTTCCCGATTTGCAGCCCAATCTTCTCACGGAGCTGGGTGTGCTGCCCTGCGACTGATTCTGAGTCTGAGTCTGACTCTGATTCTGTGTTTGAGCATTCGCCGTGGCCACAATTAGCGTCTTGAAGAACTGACGCATTTTGCTCATCATCAAATTGGTCTCCTCGTCGGAGCTCCAATTGTTGAAGCTATCCTTGCGCACAAGATTCGAGCTGTTGTTGGGCATTAGAGTTATCCTTCGTGTGGTCGTCATCGTCGCTGCTGCTGCTGCTGCAGCTGCTTGACTTGTGCTGGGTTCCAGTTCCAGTTCCAGTTTCTCGCGATCCTCGCTAATCTGACTTAAAGCTGGCGTTGGAGATTTGCATTGTGGCTCCACTTCGGGGCTGGTCTTCAACAGATCATCGTTGCTGCCCACAAAGCCACTGTCGCGACTATGATGCTGCTGCTTCTTGGCCTGCGTTGTGGCCAGATGCTCCGCAACAGCACCAGGTGTCGTTAGATCCTCGTGCAACTTCTTCTCGTCGAGGGAATCGTGTCGTTTTCTCAACTGCTTCTTGCGTTTAATGGTGTCCGAAGAACTGCCATCGGAGGCTCGCTCACAGGCACTGGGCAAATGGAGCACGGTATCGTCGCAGCCTGCCTCCGATTCGGAGGTGTCTGCCACAGCACAGCACGTGGCATCCACTAAAGCATCCGCCTCAGGTGGCAACAATAGATTGTCTAGGGAGGAATTGTGACTACGAGGTGTGCCTCGGGCGCGTACTAAACGCTTGCGCCGCTGACTGGGACTCGGATGTCCTTCACTATCGCTGCCCACGCTGCCGCCACTCGCATCGCTCTCCGGTTGCTTCTCGCCGCTGTTGCCGCCAGCGCCACTACCACTGAAGCCCATGAAACCCGACAGGAAATACTTTTCCAGTCGCGATGATGCCAAATCGGCCGCACTATTTCCACCATCCATGAGCAGTTGCTCCTCATGTGGCAGGGAATCCATGCCCTCGGAACACTCGGAACTCACCTCCGAGGCGGTATCCTCATAACGGGTATCAATGGAACTCATCACTTTGCCATCGCCCAGCCCAAAGAAGAAATACTTTTCCAACTCGGAGGCGCTCAGTCGATGATGATGTTGCAAGGTGCGCTGACGTCTCCGCTCCGCCAGATCTTGTTCCAGCTCCTCCTCGTCGTGTTCCTCCTCTGCCAGCTCAGCGTCCAGTTCATTATCCGCTCTCATCGAGGCCACTTCGCTCTCCTCGCAACTCTCCTCAACAATTGTGTGCAGCGTAAAATCAATTGCCGATCGATTATAGCCCCTCAACTCGTCCTCCCGATCCCTATCCATGTAGATGAGACGTCCATTGGATAGTTCACCATCTCCCTCCGAATCGGTGGCTGTGGGTGTTGTGGTCATTGCCTCCTCCTCATCCTCCTCCTCAGCCTGACTGAGGTCTTCCACCCAAGAATCATCATCGGCGAGGCCATCATCCGGCAAAGGTTTCGGGGGTTGGGCTTCATTGAGGGAATCGACACTGTAGGAATCTCGTGATAAATCCCGTTCACTTGGCGTCAACTCAATGCCAAGTGACTCATTGCCAAAGTTCTGGCTAAAAGCAATGTGGTTGTTGCTGCTGCCAAAAGTTGGCATTTCATAATCGTTCTTGTTGTCGTTAGTCGTTGTTGTTGCTGCAGTTGATGCTGCTGCTGGTGTTGTAGTTGTTGCTGCCGTTGTTGTTGTTCCTGTTGCTGCAGTTTCTTTTGTGATCATCACTAAACTGCGATATTTAGCTGAAAGTGAATTTTTAGCTGCAGCAGCAACAGTTGGTGTTGTTGTTGCAGCTATTGTTGCAGCAGTTGTTGCTGCTGCTGTTGTTGTTGTTGGTGTTGTTGTTGTGTCTATTTGTGTTGCTGTTGCTGCACACAGTTCTTGTTGACTGCCAAATATTTTGTCGTATTCATTGTTTTCACAACTTTCAAGCACATTCACATTGGCTACGTCACAGCGACTATGTTGGCCAACAACAACAAGCGTCTTTTGTGCTGTGAAATCGTCGTCATTATGGCCAACTTTGTTGTTACTATTTTTATTATTATTGTTGTTGCTACCGCTGTTGTTGTTGTTGGTCGGCGTTCGGCGCGCGTTTGTCTCCTCAACCGCAACGTTTAACATTTCATTTTCGACTAACTTCGCATTCGACTTCGACTTTGACTTCGTTTCGCCTGCGCAATCGGCTTCGTGAGCAGCAACAGGTAGCCGCTCTTGTTGTTGTTGTTCTTCTTCCTCTTCTTCTTGTTTTGAGAGCAAAATTGCGCTCTCTTTATTACGCTCACCATCCGCCGCTCTCACAACTACCTGCTGCGGCTGTTGCTGCTTCGTTTCAGGTGCTTTACTCGTTATGGGCCGAGAGTGAGAGTCGAACGAGTCGCTTAAGTCGTCGTTTATTTTGCATGCTTCGCTGCTTAGCACACGAACTCCCTCTGCCTCTCCCTCCCGCTCTCTTACTTCATTCGACTCTGGCTCTCTCACTCCAACTGCCACTGGCTGCGTTTGCACAGCTGTTCGCTCTTTGATGGTCGTCGCCGATGTTTGCATGGCTGTCACTTTATTATCGCTGTTTGCTTTTACCTGCTGCTGTTGGCATGAAAAACCAAGCGAGGCTGTTGTTGTTGCTGCTTCTTCTTTTACATGCTGTTTACGCTCTTTGCTTTGACTGTGTCTGTTTTGTTGCGCTGCTTCGCTTTCGTCATTATTCGTTTTTACATTAACACTTTTCAGGGAATGGCAAACAGCAGACAACGCACCCTTCCCCTCCTCCTCTTCTTTTTCTACTTCTTCTTTTTCAATATTTGTTTTGCATTCGTTTGGCTTCGCTGCTTCGGTGCTTGGCGGCAGCAGCAGATGATCCTCATTGATTTCAGCAACGCCGCGTCGCAGTCGCTGCAATTTCAATTCCAACTGTGAATTCTGTTTGTGCAACTGCAACAAGCGATTCACATCATTCGAAATGCTATGCAACTCATCGCAGGCAGCCAAAGCAACGCTGCTCAATTCAAATGATTGCTCTAATTGTTCCACAGCAACATTGACGTTGGCGTCTGCGTCGTCGTCTGGCAAGGCACGCATGCGATGCAAAATGACACCGCCATCATCGTTGGCGCTGTTATCTGTGCTGCCGCCAACAACAACAATGCAGTTGGCAAGCTCATCGCTTGAGTTGGCAATGCGGCGACTGCGCCGACGACTGCGGCGTCGGCATTCACTTTCATCATCAACAACATCATCGACATCATCATCATCTTCATCATCGTCGCTGCTAGCATCACGTGCTGCCTCTGTCGGTGTCTCAGTCTGCGTCTCTGCCGGTTCCTGTTGCTCTTGTATTGCCTGCGTCTCCGTCTCTGTTACCGCCTCTGTTACAGCTTCTGTTATTGGCTTAACATAGTTGAGTTTTATGCCACAATCTGTGCGCTCTGTGTCCGTATCATTATCGGATGAATCCTCGAGATTTGCCTCTGACGAAGAATCGCCCTCGTCGCTGCTTGAACTGTGCCGCATTTGCCGCTGATTGACCACAAACACCTTGTTGAAGCGTCGCCTTTTCGGACGACAATTTGCCACAGTTCCCATTTCATCCGAATCAAAGGATGCCGACGAGGAACTCGAACTGGAACTGGAGCTGCTACTGCTGCCATCTGTGGTGCTATGGTGCATCAAGGGTGGCGCCTCCTCCTGCTCCAGCTGCTGCTGTTGCATGGCTTGAGCCACATCGTAGCTGCGCTGCACCAGCCTGCGTCGACTGCGACGCTCATCTTCAGCGTCGCTGCTGCTGTTACTGTTACTGTTGCTGTTACTGTTGCTGTTATTGTTGCTGTTAAGGCTGCTGCTGTTGTTGTTGCTGCTGTTAATGCTGCTGCTGCTGTTATTGTTCTTGTTCTTGTTTGCATAGCTTTCGCTGCGCAGACAGCCCAAATTGCGCTCGCTTTCCGACATGTTGTTGTTGTTGGTGTTATTACTACTATTACTGCTCCTGTTGTTGCTGTTAAAATTCTCTGCTAGCTGCAAATCTAGCTGCAGTTGTTGTTGTTGCTGCTCAACCGAAAAACGAGTTATTATCGCAGGAGCAGCAGCCGCCGCCGCCGCCGCCGTAGCTGAAGCAGTTAAAGTTGTGGCTTGTACTTGATTTTTATGTATATTTGTTTCGTCTGCTGCTGTTTCCACTGTTTCGTTACTGGCCAGGTAGGTTTGTCTGTCTGCCTCTGCTGCTGCTGCTGCTGCTTGTCTGTTGCTGTTGCTGCTGCTATTGTTGCTTTGCTTAGTTTCGCATAGTTTTTGGCATTTATTTGGCAGCGTTGCCTTCTTATTTTTATTATTATCACTCACAACATGTGCGCTAAATTTAACATTGCTGTTGCTGTTGCTGTTGTTGCTTTTATCATTTACATTACACAATCTGAGTGATTTTGTTGTGGGCGTTGCGGCAGTGACGACGACGTCAACGTCGACATCGACGTCGGCATCGTTGAGAGAGCGACGCGTTTCTTGCTGTTCACACGACGGCATGCGCGGCGATACTAAACCAACAAAACTTGTCCAAGCTGGCTTCAAAGCCATTTGGCTGCTTAACAGTTGCTGTTGTTGTTGTTGGTGTTGTTGATGTTGCTCTTGTTGTGCCTGTTGTTGTTGCTTCTCTTGTTGTTGCTGCTGTTGTTGTTGCTGATGTTGTTGTCGCTCCTGCTGTTGCTCCTGCTGTTGTTGCTGGTGTTGTTGCTGTTGTTGTTGTTGCTGCTGTTGCTGTTGCTGCTGTTGTTGTTCTTCTTGCCGCTGCTTCTCTTGCTGCTGCTGCTGTTCTTTTTGTTGCTGCTGCTTTTGCTGCTGCTGTTGTTGTTGTTGTTGGGCTAGACAGAGACAGCCGGCTAATGTTTCCAGGCTGCGACCCGCTGTGCCGTAGCCGGACGTTGTTGATGAAGACGTGGAGGCAGTGGAGCAGAGCGACTGCGTCATCAGCAGCGAGCCCAGCGAGGCGCTCAATTCGGGCGCAGAGGATTTAAAGAAACTGGGCTTGGTTGTTGCTGCTGCTGCTGATGCTGCTGTTGCTGTTGCTGCTGCTGCTGTTGTTGGCAGTTGCTGGCAGCTTTTGCTTTTTGCATCAAACATGTTGCTTGCCGCGGCGAATTGCTGCGAATAGGCAACCATTGCTGCTGCTGCTGCCGCAAATTGCGGTGAATTGGGTGTTGTTGTTGTCGTTGAGGTTGCAGCGGCAGCTGCCTGCCACAGTTGTTGCAGCGAGGCGGCCAATTGTTCGTCCTGCTCGAGCAACGGTGTCGCCGGATGCTCCAGCTGCCAGCTGTGGTAGGCGGCAAGTGGCACGGGAATCGGCACCGGCACAGGAATGGGCACATATTGTGGCTGAGTGGTTGCTGCTGCTGCTGCTGCGGCAACATTGCAGCCACTGCAGCGATTGTTGTAGTGGTGCTGATGATGATGGTGATGGTGGCTCTTGAGGAAACGTGTCTTGATCCTTGCCTTCATGCTGAGTGGCATTGCTGGCGTCTGATCGGAGCTCGTCTGGGAGCTACTCTCAGTGCGGGGCAGTTGCAGTTCCTCATCGGTGCCCGTATCGCTCTCTCTAATCTTGGAGCAATAGCTACGCAGTTGCCCCCGCCGTTGGAGCAGGGGGGAATCGCTCGAGTCACTGGAACGGCGACGCAGACGTGGTGGTGGCGTTGGCGTTGCACTTGTCGCACTGGCATAGGCAATCATTGTGGTTGTTGTTGTTGTTGTCGCCGCTATCATCGATGGTTCAAAGTAATCCCAATCGCAATCCTCCACATTGCTCACAATGCTGTGGCAGTGATGCGTGGAACAGGAGGAACTCGAAGCGGAGTCTGTATCATCTGCATCCTCCTCCTCCTCTTCCTCTTCTTCCTCTTCTTTGCAGGACGATGAGGAGTCAGAGTTGAGAAAAACTAATTTAAACTCATCGGCTTCAACGCTGTACTGCGACTGAAGTGCGCGTCCAGTGAAACCGTTGCTGATGCCACTGCTGCACCTGAACTCCAGCTCCGATGACGATGACGTTTCCATGGCATCCACACTCGAAACGTTGCCAGCTGCCACATTATGCGGCGAGGCTGTAAATTAACAGGGTGGGTTTTTTTTTGGTTGAACTTTTTTCTTTTTTTTTCGACACAATTTTATTGACGTTGACCAACACCACGAAGCATGACAGATAATGGGCTAAATACTGGTTTTTAACACAGGTGAAATACTGGTTCTGGTTCTGTTTACCTTTGGTTAGTTGTGTGTTTGATTAATGATCGGGGTGGTTCAGGTTAATGTTCATTATGTTCACTACTCGTGTTCTCAAAGCGAGTTTTTAGTGGTTGCAATGCTATTTTTTAGGGCTCAATATTTTTGTTAGCGTACTCAGAATTGGGTTAGTTATAAGGGTTATATACATACATATATTAAAGACTGTTTTTGTACACCTTAAATTAAGTACACAAATATTTGTGTGTGTTCATATTATATACCATGTATCCCATATGCAGACATCAACTCTGAAGCTCAATTTTTATTAATGGTATATAGTTAAACACTAAAGATCCATATTCCATGTCAACCCTTAAACTAAGGGCTAATCAAGCAGCCCTTCTAAATGAAACAGTATTAGATATTAAGCAACTGGAAGAACCACATATCATTAAATTCAAACATCTCAAATTAAATGCCAGAAAATGTACCGACTTTTATGGCTCGCAAATAAAGTAACTCTTTTGCAAGCTGGCAATTCCAATTCCGAAGTATAAAAAATATTGCAGATGCTTCCTGGTATATGAGCAACCTAGAAGTTCACAAAAAAGCTCTGCATTTTGGAGATAAAATTAGCAAAACAAATCAAATAAGTACCGAAATAGGCTGTCTGACCATAAAATATAACTGGTAATAAAATATGTTAGATGTCCGTCTGAGATATCGTTTTTGGACTTTCCACATCGATTTAAATTAATTTAAAAAAAAATCAGAAAGTATTGGTTGACTCACTGTATTGGAATCAATACTGTCATTATTGTTGTATTTGCAAATTCATTTTCTCTGAGAGATTTTAAGTAAATATTTAAATAAACGTTTATTTTTTTTTAAATTTGCGGTAGATTAAGAGTTGACTTGCTAACTTTCTCTTTAATAAATAAGTAATTAACAAAATTGAAAAGAAACTGAATAATGTAATTTGTTCTTGCAAATATTTTTCATATTTTGGGCTTTCCACATAGAGTTGAATTAATTTAAGTTAATTGTTAATTGTTGTAGAGTCAGTATTGTGATGATTATTAATAAATTATAGATATTAATGGGTAGATTATGATAATGATTAATCAAATTATTTCTGGCACATTATCTAATATTTTTCACAAGTGCTTCAGGAAATGCTTTGCATGCTTCTCTGTGCATGGTTTTCAAATATTTGTTCTCAGGATTCTCAACGCTAATACTCCACGTTCAAAACGGGACTTAAAAGGAAGGCATTTCAGGCATCCTTCAGAGTGTTTGCCTGTTTCTGACTTTCGTCAGACCTTTCTCGATAATTGTATTGTGTTTGCGCAAACAGGGGCAGAGGCGGAAATGCAAGCAGCCTTGTTGTGTGTGTGTTGTGCAACAAGCCGTTGGCGGTGCCGCAAAGGCAAACATTTCATCCATTTAAGACCCCTCGCATTCTTTGATGCCACACACACACTGACACACCCACTGGCAGGTGGCACACACTGGCAGATTAACGGAACAACATTTTAGACAACAAGCCCCACAAAATACAAAGCTCTTTAGGCGTGGGCGACAAAGTCCCGTTGCTAGTTGCTGTCGCCCCCGGAAAACTCAGCAAACAAAACGGCAAATTAAAACATAACAAAAAATGGTCCACAAAAGAAGAAGAAGACGAATGCACACACAAACACACACACACACGCACACATGTGTGGGCGATTTATGATTTCGCTGCCATTTTTGTTGTGTGTGAAAATATTTCACGGTCGCTGCCCAAAATTGGTTTCAAGTGTGCACTCAGAGAAAAATACAAATAGTTGCAACATATCAAATATCAAATATTCGCTTTTTTCGTTTTTTTTTTTTATATTTGTAAGTTTCAAGCATAAACAGTATGCGTGTCAGAGCAAATAAATGCTTTTTTCAGCTGTTACAGGTTTTTCTTTATCTGCAAGACTGCAAAAAAATGGGTTTCAAAAGTACACTCAGAAAAAAAATTATGTTTAGATGCTTAGAAAATATTTCGCTATAAATTGCTTAAATATCTAAATTTTGAATATAAATATTATAGCTGAGTATAAAAATATTTTTATTCCATTTTTACAGATATGAAAACTCTGATTTTTCCTTTAAGCTTATAGGTCATTTAATTGAAAATATTTGAAACATTTTTGCAGCAAAGTTGTTGAAATATTAGCAATATTTTAGATAATTTTTATATTTAAAATCGAACATAAATATTTTAAAATTATTTCAGACTTTCCTTATATTTAATGTAATTTTTTTGAGTGTAACACAGTAAATTGAGAATTCTAAAATGTTCAGAAAACATTTATATAACAAATATAGCCATTAAATGTTTTATATTTTTATAAAAGGATTGAAATATGGCCGAACTTGATAAATGTTTTTCAATTGTCGATCTAAAAGAAAAAACCAAAAAATGAAGCATACTTTCAGGCGACAGACGAAATTGTTTTCATTTAAGCGGAGAATTTAATTCGTTGCTTTATTTCACTTATTTTTTTAGCGTACCAGAAATTTTTCTATCCATTAGCGGGATTTGAAAAGACTCGACGATTTTTATTAAAAATTTATAGATGCTTGTGAGGCTTCCTTAAGGGAAAGGAGAAAGGAGCAAGAGTTCCAGGAAAACTTTCGAGTTTCGAACCCGTCCCCATCGCACAGAGAAAAGTTAATTTAGCTTGCCACTAAATACTTATATATATAATTATACTTAACTACTTAGGGGCTGCTGGCACACAAAAGCCAATGAGTGAAAATGAATGAAAATGAAAATGATAAAGGCACTGATGACCCACATCATGCGCAGGGTTGCCACCTCCTGACGAACCGGAAGAAGCAGCCACCTAATTAATTAGTGCATAAAATTAGACGAAAAGCGAAACCCCAGCGGGAAAACAACTTGTTGGGGTTACAAACAGTTCACCATCACCAAGGGCTAATTATGCTTCACACACATACACCATTACACACACACACACATAGAAACTACAACGTAAAGCTACAGTTAGAGGTAGTAATTGGCACTCACCTTCCTCGGCGGCCTTCTCCTTGTTCTCCTTCTCCTTGCGCCGCTGCAGGACGACCTTCTTGAAGACAACGGCCGCTGCCTCCACTGCATTCTGCAGCTCCTGCTCCCCCAATGTTGAAGTGTGCTGCAAAAGTGCCAATTTGGGATTAGGCAAGGGGTTGGTTGAGGAGTTGAGGGGTTGAGGCGTTGAGGCGTCTCTGCTTACCGTTGCTGAACCACCATCTGCATTATCATTTGTTGCCTTATTGCCGGACTTGTCCGCTGCTCCAATTTGTTGCTGCTCCTGCTTATCCTCCTCCTGTTTGTCTGGTACTGTGTTAACGGGAATTGGCGTTTTTTTCAAGCGGTTGGTTAAATCAGAGTTCTGGTGCTTAAGCAGTTCATGGAAGGAGTAGTGATGCTGCGGTACTCTACTACCTGTATAACGGTTAACGGTACAGGCAAGTGTTTGGGGTGGATATGTGCAATATGTATAGAATATAGATGTGTAAGTAAGTAAATCGAGTGATTGCAACAACTAAACTACGACTAAGCTACAGCTACGGGTTTCTACTCGGCTGCTGTTTTGGGTGCACAAAAGCAAACTACAGCTACTAGAAATCTTTAGCCACTAGCCACATTTATCGGACTTACCCTCCTCGCCGCGACTGTTCCGGCGGCGGGCTTGCGGTATTTTGGATGCTCCGGCGCCCAGACGCGTCTTATCCAGAATATCGGCCAGCGGTCGCGGGCTGGGTATTTTTGAGGTCTCCGCTTTCTTTGGTGGCTGCAACGATAAATTTGAAATTTCAAAGTTTTCATTTGGCACGGCGAAATCTTAAACAGTTGCTAAAAGGGATGGTTTCAGGAAAAACTTTTAAGTGTTGGATAAACTTCAATCAGTTTAGTTTTGACAGACTTATGGCAATCTGTTTATCTGTTATTAGTCTTCATGACAGTGATATAATAATGCATCATCATAATACACTCTGAAAATAAATCTCCATGTCTTTTATACATTTCTTAAAACCTAGGCGCCAATGATAACTCTCACTCAGAGGGAATATTTCTAAAAGCAAGTTGACATTTCTCTAAAGTTTAGAAAATACGTGTCTAATCTTGAATGCGGCATCAGTATTTTAAGATTTGACACATACAAACATTTGAAAATTTGATATTTGAAATGAGTTTGTAGTTTCAAGTCGGATTTTCTATGCGTATATACTATTTCTACTTTATGAGAAAAGTCTTTTTTGAGAGCCTTAGTGATACAATCAATCAATCAAATCATAATGCTTTAGGTAAATATTCAAGCTACTCACCACCGAGTCCTTTTCGGGATGCGAGAAGGAGCGTCTTGTTACTGGCTTGGGTGCCGTTTTGGCACCCGAATCCTCTGAAACGGAACGCATCTGTTCCGGCTTGCGACGATCCGGCTCGTTGGAAACAGTTGCAGTTGCAGTTGCTACTGCTGCTGTTGCTGCTGTTGGTCCTGCTCCCGTTGTTGCTGCTTCAGGAGCGTAGTTTGCTTCTGTTGTGCTAGTCAGCTCGGGAGGCACGGGCAGTTCTCGCGACTGTCGCCTCCTCATGCGATTGTGCATGAGGGGTGTGCGCGGCAGGGCGGCTCCACTGTGCTGCTTCACATGCCCGCCCCCGCCCATGTCCGTATAGAAGCCGGGCGCCAAAGGAGCCGCAACACCATAGCTATTGTTGTCGATGCCGGTGAGCATGTTCTCGGCACTGTAGATGGGTCGAGTGTGGTTAGGCTTGTAGCTGGCATCGTCGGAGCCATCGTTGTAGATGATACGCGGTTCGCTGCTGAAGCCGGCATTGTAGTTCTTCTCATATTGCACCTCATCCGATTCCAGAAAACTGGTTGCACTATTACCAAAATAATCGACATATTCACGCTCCTCGCTGACATCGGGGAACTGATTGAACTGCTGCTTGGCCTCGCCAAAGGTACGTGACCCATGGTCCTGTTCCTTGAGGCAATCCTGACGCACCAGGCGACTGGGCGAGCGGCTCGAGGAGCGTTGACTGGTGGGAATCTCGGGCAGCAGACGACGATTCTCAACGTGGCTCTTATTGCTGTTGGAGTACTCCTCGTTGCTGTGACTGCGCACCTTAATCATCTTCGAGTGTGGATCGCGCGAGTGATGGATATTCACGCTCTGACTGCTCGAGTATTGTTCGCCTGCGCCACTTGCCACGCTGCCACCGCTACCGAGATCTGTGGCACCCACCGTCGGCACATTTTGTTGCGACAAAAACTGCCGGGGATTCTGCACGCTGGGAAATAGGAAATTCTGTTTGGTTCTCGGCGAGATGGGCATAAATTTGGCCGGCGGTGTCTGATGCACCGTCAGCGTATTTCCAGTGCCAAATGCCTCCGGATTAGGCAACGTTTGCTGTCGTGTAAATTCCGGTGAGCGACGAAATGAGGGCGATGTTTGACGCTTCGGCGGCGATGTGGGCAACAGCTTGACATGTTGATCGGGATTGGGAAGCGTCGCCTGACGCATCATGCGTGGCTTGTTATACGATTGGCCGTAGTCCAATTCATCACTGGCCATGCTCGAAGATTGCGATTCATAGTTGAGAGGTGGCGCAGCCTGAGTTGTGTTCTGGGCTTGCTGTGCTTGTTGATTATTTAGGTTAGCTGTGCTGGGCAGCAACTTGGTGCGATGATAATTGCTGGGTGGCTCCGGGAAGGATGTTTGCCTGGTGAAGGGCGGATAACGTTGCTGTTCACCCGGTGATCGTTCGGGCGAACGACTATAGACCCGATTCGGTGACGTGGACATATAAATGCTGGGTGGCCCCTGTGCCTGGCATGGATTCGCCGGCAGCGTCGATTGACGGCGCACCTGCAACCGATGGCTGTGCGACGGTGGCACCGAAGCTGCCTCCAATTGTGGCTGCACCTGCTGCAACTGGATCTGTGCGTAATTATCGCAATCCGCTGCCGTATTCATATGGATTATATCGTCGCTATTATAGGCACTCGGATAGAGTGGATTCTGTTGCAGTTTGTGTGGCGATGTTGGCGCTGTCAAATTGGCTGAATTATAGTTGGACAAATTGGCACCGCTGCCACTCAGATTGGGATCGTTATTCAGTGTGCTGGGTAGTGTCGATTGCCGGAGAACACGTCTGCCCAACGCCCACTTGCTGCCACTAATGGGCGTGGCACTGCCACTATTATAATGCGACTGTCGCTGCTGCTGCTGCTGTTGATGCTGCTGTTGATGCTGCAATTGTTGCTGCAACTGCTGTTGTTGCTGCTGCTGCTGCAATTGTTGCTGCTGCTGGTGAAGTGAGTGTTGATGCAACGTATGCTGGTGCAGTGCTGGATAACTGCCCGCAGACTGTGCCTCAATCAGATGCTGCTGCTGTGGATACAAATTATCAGCGATGGGTTGCTGTGCATTCGGATTATTCGGATCGTCCTCGGGATCTACAATTATATATATTAGCTATAAATTACAGTCTCTTACTTAAGTCAAACTCACTTGATATGGTCCAGGAGCGTCGTATGCTTTTCCGAAGCACGTCGCTGGTGCTCAGATGATCCACTGCCTCGCAGGATGCATAAGCTTCCTTCAGCCACTCACCGCTTGCGGCTTGGATCTCCCTGCAAGAGCAACAACAGGACCAATGCCATTTGAAAAACCAAAATACATCCGTTAACATATCTTATACTATTCGTATATATATTTGTATATATATATATTCATATATATAGTATATATGAAATGTATACGTCTGGCCGTGTCAGCAGCAGCCAGCAAACTAAACCAAGTGTCGAGACAAAAGCAATAACAATTGCTTGCCACAAAAAAGAAAAAAAAAAAAAATATTGTGCACCCAAAAAAAAAATAACAAATGACTTAAAGGTTACTTCAAGTGAGCTAATCTGGCCTCTACACGACGAAGATTAAATACTCTTTTTACTGCTGAATTCTTTAACATGAATATTTTTCTGTGAATGGAAATCAGAATATTTTAAGAGACACCCCGAAAATTATAATTATTCCATGATTGCAAAAGAATATTCCATTTTGTGTTAGATTATCGATTTAGATTATAGATTCTCATTAATACAAAAGTCTGCAGAGAATTGTATACACATCAAATTCACAAATATATTAACCAACTGTCCATCTTTACTGTTCCTTACTATTTAAAAAGTTCACGTTTATTAATTATCTGAGGTATCTAGTAAAAATAATAACAAAATAATAAATATTTGTTGTCATTTTTTCTATTCATATTTTTAGTATTTATATTTAAGCTGTATATTTCAAGCCAAACAAAATCTCAACTCTTTATTGTTCAATCATGCAAGCAATCTAAGAATATTTTTGTAATAATAATATAGCTGAAGGTCATGCAATAGCCCCATTTTAAGCAAAATTGTTCAGATTGTTCAGATTATAGTCTATGGAAGTCAAAGAAATATTTTTAATGTATGCATCCAATTTAAATGATTTAAATATGTAGATCGTTTAACTGCAGCTGCAGATGACTGCTTGAATGCGTTACATATTTGATGACAAGACATATATACCCTGCAAATAAAAATAAAACCGAGACTCCAAGTTACACAGAGCAACACCAACGCAGATGTGGCAAGCAGTAATGAACTTACTTGGCGGGTGGCAACTGGAGGCGTCTTCTTTCTGTGTGTTTTGTTGAGGGCGCAGTCAGTCGGAGACTGTCAGGCGTTTCAGACTTTATGAACAAATTCCAATCAAACAGAGAGACAGACAGACAGGCGGACAGGCAGACAGGCAGCAGCAGTAGTCAGCTATCAATATATAGATACTATATGTTTAGGGGTGGGGCAATCAACCAACTGTTTTGGCAGCTGCAATTGTTGCTGCTGCTGCTGCTGTTGCTGCTGTTACTGTTGCGTTGACAGCTGGCTGCCATTTGGGAGGCGTCAATTTGGCTGACACCTGTGGGCGGATGTGGATGTGGTTGCCAAGCAGGCAGGCAGGCAGTCTCAGTCGCAGCAGTAAGCATCTTGTGCAAATTCTCAGCACGCAACAAATTTACATACCTGTTAGCCTGCAGCTGCTGATGTTGCTGCTGCTGCTGCTGCTGCTGCTGCTGTGCGTTGGCCAACATTTAATTGGTTCAGAGTCTTGCGAGTGGCCTTGTTTTCAGTTTCTATTTTTTTTAACGACTTATTTCGGGGCTTGGCAATTAACACTGAGCTGAACTCGGGTAGCGTGTGGGTCGTGCGCAGCATCATCATCAGCTGAAGCAACAACTACAGTTGGAGTATTCACTTCAGCACCCATTTCTACATTCGTTGTTAACAAATGCTGAACTCTGTATGAAACAGGGCGTATGCGTAATATTTGTGTGCGTTAAGTTGTGTTTCTTGGCAAAAACTTTTAATTGAGTTGAATGTTTAAACTATGTACTGATTTCGGCATGAAATTCGCTGGAAAATAATGTATCCAGTAAATAATGCTACCTACACAGAGAACTGAAAAACCAACTAAGATCTGGTAAATATTTGTCTTTTAAATCGTAAATAATAAAAATTAAGTTGCTAAAGTCATTAATAAATAGATTTCCAATTTAAGTTCATTTAGAATCTTGCGTCTTCATTTTTGTCTTATAATCTTCTATTATACCATGTTTCAGAACGCATTTCAAACTAACCTCGAATAGTTTTCAACTTTAATTACTATACATAAACTCATTTTAAAGTTATCTACTTAACTATATATATATATATACTTTTATTTGATTATTAAATTTCATGCTATTATATTGAATAAAGTTAGCAAAATTGTTAAACTACTTTATATCAAAATATTTGTAATGCACTTCTTTTTTTTTTAGCTTTTTTTTGCCTTTTAGTTTTGAGTCATGCGCATTTTTGTAAAATAAATTATAAGCCGTTCGCACCAAACTGGGTTTCTCCGGACTTCTCATTTATTTAAAGTGAATTCGCGGAATACGATTCCATCTGCAGCTTCTTTTCTTGAATAAATATTAATGCAAACGCCTGAACGGCTTTGGTTTTTATTCAAATTCCCAGAACTGTTTATTTATTTTAGAAACTGAGTTTTTAAAAGCAAAGGATAAGTTAAAGAGTAAAAGTATAAAGAAATGAATTTCAATCTCCATTGACAATGTTAGTTAACCGCAAATCAAGAATGTGCTCTTCAAAATGAGAAATAAAACTCAATTTAAGGTTGTCCATTCTAGATTCTAGAATCAACATTTTCGTTCAAAATCATAAAAATCAAATAATAATTGTTAAGTCTGTTTGTATTCAATTTTTAAATTTATGGCGTAACCTTGAGGTAACTGGCAATTTGTATATTTCTGATTGATTGAACTCCAATTGCAACTCTGAACTAAAAATTGCTTTATTGTGTTGCACACAACTCAAATAGTTTTTGAGTAAAAAGTAATTTTGGGCACAAAAGTGAGTTGACAGAACACTAAGCCTAAGGCTTATCCATGCAGCCAGCAAGAACAAAGGAGAACTAACCATTTTTTTGCTTTGATCCTTAACAAAACAAAAAATGGATTCAACCAGATGGCAGACACATACACACACACACAGAGACACACACACACACAGACATACACACACACGCGCAAAAATACACACATTCGGATATTCGCATAAATGAAAATTGAATATCAAATGTGAATTGAGTTGGGCAAATACCGTAAGCCGTAGATAACAAAGTAACCAAAATGAAAGTGCAAAAACATTTTGCGGGCAACAATTGCAAATGGAAGCAGCCGCATAAAACACAATAATATTGCAGTGCAGCTAACAACTGCATCTGCCCCTGCCATTGCCACTGCCCCTGCCTCATGCAACAGTCAACGCATCAGTTGACAACAGAGGTCATCGGATCCCCTTTCGAGTCACGATGCCCCCCTTTGGCGAAAATTGAAACAATCTAATTTAAATTTCTTGTGAAGCTGCCAGTTTTTTGTTAGCGCTGCAAAAAATTAGATTATATTACTGAAATGTGCTGGTTTAGCTGCTTTTTTAAAAATGCACATTTCGCACAAAAAATTGTGAGAGAAATAAGAACTAGCAAAACAAGAATATACAAGTTGAGTCTATTTGCTTGTGTAATACATTGTACATGAATAGTTTCACAATACCATACAACTATATCTTTTTATACTACTTTTTATAAATTAGATTGGAGATGTTTCCCTCAAATTGTTGTAAAAATTTGATATTTATTTATTTTATCATTTATGTTATTATAGTTAATATTTTACAGAAAGACCTCGAATTTAAAAAATAGGCGCTTTTTTTACAAGGCTTGGCTTCTAGATTAAAACTACATCTAAATTTCAATATTAAAACGGCTTATTAAATATTAAATATATATATATATATATATATTGATTTGTGTATGGCTTTCGAGAACTTGATTTTGGAATTCACAGTCTTCAGTTAATTCAAACAGACAGACAAACATGGCTGGCTCGACTCGACTGTTGAATATATATATATTCATCTTATGGAGAGAAAAACTGAAGGTTTCTTCTATTGGCATAGCATATCTTTTGGGGCATGGTAAAGGCATTAAGAAATTTAGGACTTTGAAGTTTGCCTGGGAGACTTATGAAATAAGACTGGGAATATTCACTTTATAATATTTTTGTATATATATTATCTGAGATGCTTAGGTTATTTCGCCCACAAATATAAGGTTTACATAACCTTAATGATAACCATAGAATCAACTAAAAGCTCAACTGAATATATTCAACATTCAAAGGAAAATAAAAAAAATATGTATATGTATATATACATAAAATCGAGTATACATAAACACGCACACAGACAAAACACAAATTCACATATAAGCCACATATATATTGGAGTAGTTGTTAATTGGTTAGTGTGCGAATGAGTACTTTTGAGTACATAGTTTGAATGAGTGCCAGGGAATGAGTATTGCGTGCGTGCTTGAATGAGTACATTGAGTGTAGAGTGAGTTATGAAGTGATGTAGAACAAGAGATAGAGAGAGAGGGAAAGAGAGAGAGAGAAAGAGAAAGAGAGAGAGAGAGAGAGAGTGACTGAGTGAGACAGAGAGAGAGAGAGAGAGAAACTTACAGTTGCTTGTGGCACACCACGCACACCCAGTCCAGAGCGTGATGGACGCGACAGGCTTTGCACACGCGCAGCTTGCAGACGCGACAGGGGGCGCCGCGGTTGGTGATGCGGCCCAATTCGGTGGTGCAGCGGGCGCAGTGGCGACTCGAGTCGCTGTGTAGATTGTTGTAGTTGTTGTGTTCGAGGAGCTGTTGTTGTTGTTGTTGTTTCTGTTGCTTCATTGTTTGTGGTTCTTGTTGTTGTTGTTGTTGTTGTGGGTCATGTTGTTGTGTGGCATCGAGTGGTTGTTGTTGCTGTTGTTGTGATTGTGCACCACCAACGACCTTGCGCCTCAGCGCATACAACTCGGCGCGCAAGAGCCTGTTCATTATTATTGTTGTTATTGTTGTTTATAATGATGTCAATGGTGTTGTTATTGTTGTTGTTTTTGGGGTGGGGTGTGTTTTTTGGAGTTGGGTGACATTATAATTGTTGTTGTTGTTTTTTGCAGGACATAACAAAATGACGCATAGAAGTTAGTTTAAAAGTTAGTTACAGCATTAAAAACACATTACAATAACCATTTTTAGGTGGTGGTGAGAGAGTGAGCGAGATAGCAATAGCGAGAGTTAGAAGCACGCAAGGTGTGTGTGGGTGTGTGTGTGTGGGCAGGTGTGTGTGTGAGTGTGTGAGTGAGTATGAGAATCAACAGCACAAAAGTGGTTTAGTGATGAAAAGAGACAAAGAAATAAAAGAGCACACAAATATTATATATATATATATATGTATGTATATTTAATTGTCATTAGTTGATTTAAATTGCAATTTGTATATTCAAAATTATTAATTTGAAGTTAATTTAAAATTAAAATACGAGTTGTTTATTTAATTATGCAGAATTCACAATTTATTCGAGTTAATTAAGCAAATGTGAGTGTGTGTGTGCTATTTAGTATAGGCAATTAGATGTGCATAATAGTTATCTATGCTAAAATGTCACAAAGGAGTCTACTCGATTAGGCTAAATGCAAATGTCTGTTCAAGTGCCATTTAATGCATTATTTGAATGTTGTCATTGTTGCTTTAATTGATTGAACTGAAATGCTATGCTTAGTCAAAATATAAAGCATTTTATTTAAGTGTGATGCAAGCTTAAGAGAATTAACTTATCTTCAAACAAAGAACAAAGCTGAACTGTTGTGTGAAATAATTTCTAAATTATATTTTTAGATATCAGTGATATTATTTGTATTATTATTCTTAGCATTTTTTGTGATTGTGCTGCCTTCTTAGTATATAATAAATTGTCTAGAGACTGGAGATTATCCAATAATTAGGAGAAGCATAGGCTTGGACATTGAAATCTTAAGTCAAGCATATAAAGAGTAATCAAAAGTTTAAAGCAATATTAATAACTCATAGATTGTTGAAGGTTTATCAGAATAATAAATAAATAATAAATAATCGATTATAAAAATCCTCTTTTTCATTATAAAAATATTTCTCCATTTTGGTCTCGCTTTTTACAAAAACAAGACTTTTTAAAAAGATTTTTATTAATGATTTAAAATTGCTTAAGTGTGAAGCTCAAACAAAAAAGCTAAAATGCCAGTCTCATTCTAATTTTCGGCTAGCTAAATTTCAATAAGCAATTATTTTGATTGCTTTCATTTAAAGTTCAGCAGCTAACAAAAAGAAGTCCATAAAGCCAGTATTATTCTAGCTGTAGAACTAGATTAATTAAATTGACTGTTAATGCAACTTTAGGCTTAAGAAAGCTTAAGAATGCAATCTATATAAACTATTGCTGCCATACAACAGCTTTTAATTAGATATTCTCGCTGCAGGATTAATCCAACGCTTAAGTGCCACTAGCGGCTAGTGTCAATTTACGGACAAAATTAAGCCAGGAAGTTATAGAGCAAGGCTATATGCGATGAGCTTTCAACATGCAAAACCAAACCAAAAATTGTATTAACTTTATGTGCAAAGTCATAAAACATACGCACACACGCACACCCACACCTCCGTAGACACACACCACCAACACACACACAGACACAAGCATACACATGTCGCAGATTGTTAAGGTTTGTATTCGTGATACAGTCACGCAGCGGACATAAAAAGTCAAACAGGATTTTCAGCTGTAGCTGCTCTGCAAATTATGCAGCAACATACCACATACACAGCAGCAACACACGGCAGCAACATACGCGGCAGCACCAACAACAACACTTTTTAATTATATTTTTTATCTGCATTCGAGCGCGTGTATTTTATGAGCTTCACAAAATCAACACAAACGTCAGCCAACCAAGTCCCACACACACAAACACACACACACACACAAGAACACATTCACGCACAATCTACACACACACACACACACAGTCCGTTGCCGGTGGTCGTGGCTTTTGATTGTGTGTGCGTTAAGAGCATGTTGCATGCTTATAGGGGCAGCCGCAGAGCGCACACCTGCTCTAACCACAAACACATATAAGCCAAGTAATAAGAGTGCTCTATTCGCAGAAGAATGAAGGGCAATACTGACTAAGAGATACCCTTTACATCAATGGAGAATTGGACTTCATGGTACAGCGATAGACCTGCGAATGGGTAGATTGGAAATGACATTCAAAATGCAGTGGATACCATTCCCGATAATCCAGAGAAATTCCCATGTTCCCGATTCTGGCTTGTTAAGAATTAATTTTGTACTGTAGGCATACGTAGACTGGTCGGAGAATAATTAAAGTTGTATTTGAAACTTTGAATTATAGCATATTGAAAGAAACATTTTACAGCATTGGAAAAACAACTTTCTAAAATCATTTCTTATTGTTCCTCTGTCATCTGTGGGTTTTCAGGCTCAAGCAGAATTATGAGAAGCTCGAGCATAAGTATATGCTATCATAATACCATAAATAATAATAATACCATAAATTATTATTGTGTACAGGGTATAGGCGCACACACTCCTACGCCTCAATAGGCGTCGCATGCAGCTAACCATGGCGCCTCCATGCTGCTGATTTCGGGCCTTTTGCCATGTTTTATTGGGCCTGATTAACACGAGAACAGACGTCAAAGACGAAAACGAGGCGAGAAGTTCAAGACGAGGATGAGTACGTCATGTTGAATGCCACAGCTGGTTGGTGAGGCATGTTGACGTGTTGCAAAGCTTGTCGCTCCAGTAGTTAAGTATTGTTGTAATTGCTGCTACTGTGGCTGCTACTGCTGCTGCTGCCGGAATGAATTCGTAATCATAATAAGCCATTAAGCTACGAATATGGCCAACCCGCAGCCACAATGGCCAATGCCCAACTAAGTAAAAAGTGCTAAACTAAACAGCCATAAATTTTCACTAGGCAAGGTCAAAATGAGTTGACAGCCAGCCGGGTCACGCTTTAATTTGTCCCTTTTTTCAATGTGGGTGCTGTTACACTCAGAGAAAGGTCGAGTAGCTTGTACTAAAATAAACTAAGAAGGTTGCCAATTCATAATTCTGTACTGGAATGAATAAATTTGGATTGCTCTCATTTTAAATGTACAACAAATTTTCAATTAGAAACAGATTAAGTTTTATTTAATGCACTTAAGTGCCTCAATTAATCCTGATTTCATCTTAATATAATAAAATCAGGTATAATTAATTATAGAGGCTTTTAAATTAAATAAACGGACTTTCTAATAAGTATTAAGGGCAGTTTTTGAAATCAAAAATTATCAAAAGTGTATTCAAGATTGAAATTTTGCAGATTTTAATTTTATATTATTTTATATTGTCTGGCGATCATTTACAGTGTAAACATGACTCACTATGTGTGTTTTTTGAAGGTGCAAAGCCATTTTTTGAGTGTACGCCCAAGACAGGCCTAAATAAATAGCTTAACGCATGTTTTTGATTGTTCCCGGCCTTTGGGTCATGCAAATAAACCCAACTAATTAAGCTGATGTTAATCAACGTGCATAACTCAACTGTGCGACTTTTCGTCCAATCGAACACCTGCTGCCAAAACCGCAACTCACAACAACAATCAATAGCGGCAAAAAGGGGCAACAAATTGTTGCACGTGGCACGCTTTGATGTCCGCCAGCAGAGGCAGCTTAATGCCAGCTTTGATTGAGCTCAGTTGAGTTGAGTTGCGTTGAGCTGAGTTTCGGTAGGGTGTGAAAAGCAGCAAGCGTAAATATTTTCCCACAATATGAATACAATTTATTTATCTTTTGCTTTTTGGAGCAGAAATATATTTGAGCCCATTCAGCGAAATAAACCAACATTCGATTCATATGCTACTCCATGCTCAATATGCGGATTCCAATTGTAATCAGCTTTATCATATCCTGCAGCTAGTACATATTTTCGCTGGGTCTCTTTATTATTGATGTGCAATGCCTACGGACTTTAATCAGTACTCAGTTGGGAATAGCTGTGCTGTGGAAAAGTATCACATAACTTATTTAGAAGACAAGAAGAAAAAAAATACAGACACAAGCCGGAACAGCTCGCGGAAACTCAGTTAAGTAGTTTGACCTATGAGGCTAATATTTTAAGAATGCAACAATTATTGCAAATCGTAAAAGCAAACGCATATTTTAACAAGCAAATACCCGGCCAGGTCACCCAAAGGCATTTAAATTGACCTTGGCTAACAACTTTTGTTGAAATTGTTGACAAGAAATGTGGTCTGTGGCGTATTTTGTTTGCCTCTGTGCAGCCCACAGAATTACAAAGAATCCTTAAGATTCCATTTGCGTAATTCCTTTTCATTTATTAATCTCAAATTTTGTTGAGGATGAAAAGGATTTATTTGGCAGAAGACTGCAGATGCTAAGAATTTAACTGTTGGTTCAGTTTGTATATCGTATATATTATAGATAATCCTCAACTATATATGTTTATAAAGATGGTTTATGCTCAGTGTTAAAAATATGTTCCAGGGAAAAATGTGTTATATTCGAAGCTGACTTGAAGTCTTAAGTTTGACTGAATATTCTTACATATAGTCAAAATTAGTAACATAGTTATATATATATAATTAGTGATAACCATTTTAGCTAACGATTATAATGACAAACTACCTGCTTACTGACTTTTCAGTTTAAGGTTCTCATTATTACAAAGAAATCGAATTTAAACCATTTATATATTTACATTAAAATTTGTAGGTTGTTTCTCATTGGGCACTTTCTCTATTTTATATACACAAATATTTGCATTTTTGCTGAATGCTATTTT